TTGATACAGAAGAGAATTGAAGAAGTGAACGCACAAAGTACTGGTCAGGACATGGAGCAGACACAATTCACTTCTGTACTATTTTCAACTGTATCAATAATACCACACTGTATGCTGTATTGAATGCTGTACCTTGTCTTTTAGCTACTTAATCCTTACCTTAGATATATTTATAGTGTCCTGATCTGATATATTCTAACAAACTTTTCATCTAGAAATATGTTTTTTAACACTTTAATATCTAAGTTACTTCAGTTCAGAAAGGCAAAATACTCTCAAATCTTTATTTAATTATCAAAGCTTCTCACATGTAACTTATTCTTACCTTAACCCTTTCAACCCTAGCAACGGGCTTACCAGCCAAACACTAACGCAATATATACCCGAGCAGCCGGTATACCGGCCGTTGCTAAGTGACGTCATACAACATCAACGGCATACGCTTTTACTTTTATTACTTGGAGTTCAGGGTATATGACGTATTTCATTTACACTCAGGGTTCAAAGGGTTAAATTTCATCATCGTATCTCAATTTCTTACAATAAAATTTTCCATTTCATTTAAGAAAGATGGTTTAATTATTAAGCTCTCCCATTTAAGCCAACAAATCCTATATATTTATGCTTCAGTACACTAATTCTTTCCATTCGACTGATTGGACATAAGAAACTCTCTAATTCCTCTTGACTTAGTTTTTTTTGCTAAAGGCTAGCGCACACGAGAGCTCCCAGCTGAGCAAAATTTCATTCGTGTCTCCCAGCTCAGCTAGCAGCTTTCGTCGGTTTCCTCCGCACACGCTAAGCGTGGAGCTTTCGTAAACCGGATGTTGAGTCATAGACATCTAAAAATAACTAGAGCACCTGACATTCTCACGTGGCTTAAACAAAATGACGGACGTCGACAACCCTTAGAATGATTAAAAATATAAAGAAATTTTACTTCTTCTTTTATTCTTGCGTCGCCGACGACGAAGAATGCTTGCAAGCTCTCATAAGCCATATGTCCACTAACTTGTCTTAGATAATTGCTTCAGATACAAACTCACATTCACCCATGGGCGCAGCCATTTTGTTTGATCACATGCTAGCAAATGCGCCCCAGCTAAGAGCTTTCGAGTGCACACGTTACGGTATTTTTCATTTGAGGAAAAAATCATCAAACACCACAGATAATTTCCTTAACGCCTCGAATGAAAAAAACCTTACATAAACTCAGCGCACAGGAGAGCTGCGAGTTGAACTGAGAGGCACGAATGAAATTTTGCTCAGCTAGGAGCTCTCGTGTGCGCTAGTCTTAATTTATTGTTTTAAAGTACAAATCAATGTATTTTAAGTACATCTTCCTTACTCCTTTATTGATATTTATGGAAAAATGAAGAATTGTTCTGAAATTGAAATTAAATTGGTAAATTGGTAAAAAAAGACTTGACTTCTAAACAATGCTTGTTATTCGCAATAATACAGTAAGTTTAAGTTGACATACACTTTCTAAAGAGTTTATATTGCAAGCACAAAGCATTTCTGTAATCCAAAACAAATTTACTAACAATTGACAAAGGAAAGCTGATAACACATATTCATTAAATGACGATTAACAAGTGAAAATTGATAGAGCTCGCATGATCATATTATACTCACGCCTTTGTGTTGGGTCATATTACTAATAACTCAGACTGCACTGCTCTTTTCTTCAATATATACTCTATTAAGTAACATATTTTATTGACAACACAGGCATTAGTACATAATTATCAATCTGTTCATTTCAAATGCCTCATGAAGATTGCTTTGATGTTAAAATACCTGTATATGTGGTCTTTATTCATAGTTCATCTCAGGGTATTTTTCACAAGCGTAAAGTTTATATTATTAGAACTGAAACTTATACCTCAAGACCTCAAGATCACAAATATTATCATAATATTGCCTAAGATTCTAACTGTGTCTCTAAATATATAGATATATTACAGAAAAATTTCCCCTATTAACTGTACTAACAGTGCTATTTTAGCTATAGAATGACCTAGATAGTGGGTAGTAACCTAGTAACAACTATTACAGATTTTTCTATACTATAGGTAGTTTCTACCTCCCACCTTTCTGTACTAAAACAATACAATCATGAGACAGCAATTTGAATGCCTGTTTTATTATGTGTATGATTAGACAGCAGTACGTATGCCTGTGTTATTATGTGTATGACAAGATAGCAGTACGTATGCCTGTGTTGTTATGTATATGACAAGATAGCAGTACGTATGCCTGTGTTGTTATGTATATGACAGGATATAGCCTCTTACAGCTGTCGCCTTCCCTATATTAAAAAACCAGTCAAGTATACCCGGCTCCCTACAAATTACAATAACTGCACGTAGCTTGTTTATAACATGGTTTCTGGTGTAAAATACACAAAGCTAGGTCAAGTTTATCACAAAACAAAATATTAAATCTACAATAACACAAAAAGTGATGAAAACGTACTCAAATATAGTCTGCAATAATACAAAAACTTGTCTATTTTTTGTTGCCATTAAAAAGACCAGTAAATTGGGCTAAAAGTATATTTGACTGTGTTGTGCTAAAAGATGCACTAACAAGCAATCATAGATCCATGACCATACAGTTTAAAATGTAAATTATTCTTGTGTTATGACTGACTTAAGGGACAGGTTCGCCATTTTGGGGGGCTGATTTGGGTCTTGCATGAATATATGTAAATAGTCTTCAGAAGAACAAGGAATGTACAAAAATCGAGTAATTTCATCAAAAAAAATTCAAACTAGGAATTTTACTCACTATTTCTATATATGTTTTTTCTATATCTGTATCACAGATTTTAAATTGACGAGTCGTCACTTTAACATTCAAACGCAGATATCTCTGGACACACATAGATTTGAAGGCTAAAATTTCGATGATGAGCTGTGAACACTATTACTGATTATCTTAGCTTAAGAAAACTACTGTAGGCCTACCCCTAAACCTGTCCCTTTACTTGAAATAAACCAAATCAAGAAAGTAGAATTGAAAAATAAGATATTAAAGATGGGTTTTCTGATTTTCTAGTGTCAAATTAAGCGAACTATTTGATTAATTGGTGTATCTAATGAATTATCATGTATTCTTAATCATACCATTATCTTCTTATTGCATATAATTAACCAATAATAAATGAAAATAAGGAAACCCATCTTTAAAGTCTATATCACTTGCTTTATGTCCACAGAGGTGCCCAGAGGTGCTTAGAGGTATAGTCTAAAGGTATATTTGACCGAATTTGAGTCTGAAGACGCACCCATCCACATTAAAATAATAATGTACATCATATCAATCCGTTTGGCCTTTTTCCCAACAAATAACCGATTTCTTGAATTGTAGAAATCAAGGACATGGTCAGCCATAAGCAATATCATAATCGAAATTTCAAAAATCGTGTCAAATGTTAAGAAAAATTCCTAATTTACCTGTTTAGTCGTCGTATCGACTCTTGTTATTATTCCACATTCTTCTATCAAGGGACGCAACTCTAACAATTCTAATATTTCGCAATCGAAAGTAGAGCTGTCAGAAAGTGGGCGTGACAATTGAAAGTTGCGTTGTTGACCATGATAATTCTTGGACAATATTTAACAATAGTGCATGGTGTAAAGATTACTATCTTAGACGCGTGGTCTATAAATCAACTAGTAATAAATATTACAATGCATGTAGTGTGATATTTTTTTCCAATGAATTCAAATCATGTGGGGGTGCCGCCTATTTTGAAAAAGGTAAAATAATATTTGGTAAATTTATTATAATTTATGGGTTGATTCACTTATGCAAGACATTTCACCCAATTCCACTAAAATTAAATGTATTATTGCAGAGGCCTAGCTATTGCAAAGGCTCTGCAATATCAGTCAGTGCCCTATATATGGATCATTAGATGAGGGGACGAATAGGCATCTCAGATCTTTCAAGGGAGGTGGGGGAGATGGCTTTTATGTATAATAATAAGAAATTTGATTGAGGGGAGGGGGAAGCAGCAGGGAGCAAAGCCAGGTTAGCCTCCATGGATCCCCTGTGGAAAGGCCACTGTATGAAAAGCAGTCATAAAACTCTTAGCTTTATAATCCTTTTATAAAGTATACCAGTAGCAATCTTTAAAATATGTTTATTTATAAATAATCTATTGCACACACACACAGATAAACTACAGTTGAAGAAAGGAATACAGACATTCACATGGCCACTGCATGTATTTAATGAAATGAGACAAATTTATAAGGCGTAATCAATGAAATTAAGATATCACAGATACAAGATATAATATATGGTGAAATATGAGCTTGGTGAAGCATACAAATAACGATACATCCACTAACAGCTTTGTATAAATAATAACATTTACATAATAAATATGCAAGGTTTACAAGCTAATAATTCAATGCATTTGCAAGTGCAAGAGTGAGTGATAATGAGCTATATGGTTTGAATTGTTACCTGATATGCACAAATGAGCTTACTTGACAATAAATACATGCCAACACATATTGCCAACACATATTGCCAACACATATTGCCAACACATATTTAAACATAGTAACACAAAGTAAAACATAATCAAACTGAACATACATGCAGGCTTAAATATAGAAAAATATATTAAGACTTTATTATACATCTCTTCGACTCATCTCAGTTTCCTTCTTTTCAATGTATATAAACATAGTTAAAATCAGCTGAAAATATAGTCCATGCCTTGTTTCTAGGCCAGAGCTTTTCATGAAAACTCATTGATATATCACTCTTACTCAGATATAAAAGTTAGTGTTTTATCTCATTCATATTCAATCAAAGATAGAGAAAAACTATTGTATAACCCTTGAGTATTAAACATGTATAACTCTGGGTCTGGGATCTCTAGGAAAACTAACAGTTTGAACTGTAGTAAATTATTTACTGTGAAACACTTGTATTATTTTAAAACTCTGTCTCTGTCTATTAACTCTCATCTATCAAACTTGTATGACTCTGGGATCTCTAGGAAAACTAACAGTCTGAACACCTGATATTTGTAGTAAATCATTTATTGCCATATGATCTGTAGGATTCTGATCTAGATGTGAATAATGAATAATATTGCCTGAAATTATAAAATTATATACATTACAATATGCACAACATAATTAAATTGTGAAATGTTCCACAGGTCAACATGTTAAGGGGGGCAAGTTGGGGCAAGAGGGGTCACAAGCAATCCTTTTCCTATTCAAAATGATGAGAAATTTTAACTTGGAGAATGGGGTGCAAGGCCAGGCCAACTTTCTTCTTGGAGTTCTCCCTGTCTAATCAATTCCCTTCTCAAATGGTGTCATACTGTTACTTGAAACAAAACAAAACTGTAATAATTCAATTTGATACCGCTCTACTCAATAATGATAAGCCATAACACCTACCTGGCCCGATGATGAGTGATCCCCCTTGTTGTTTAACATCACCCTGGTATTCCTGTACTTTCATAGCTCTCCATGTACTTGACAAAACTCCCATTATAAACCCTGACTTTACATGTTTACTTTCTACAAATAATAATTAGTAAAGACTTAAAGAGAGCAAATAAAAATTAAATATTGGTCTCACTAGCATCATTAATAAATGCTTCATGAATGGTCCTTGATTACAAAGAACAGGAAAACCATGCCACATATTATTACAATTTAGATCTTATAAACTCCCTTAAGCATTGTAGAGCAAAATTTTGATTTGGCAATATTTGCCAGACTTGTCCGATGGAAAATTGTAAATTATGACTCTACTCAGATACTTACTTGACAAGGTAGTGGAGGTCAACTTTTCTTTAAAACCAAAAGCTTTATAAATATTTCTATCTGGATCACTGTACATAGAATAGTTATACCCTGTTACTTTACGAAATGGCTACAAGAAAGAAATAATTCTACCTCATTTAACTTCTACATGAAATGATGGGCTCAGAACTCCTTATAAAGTATGGACAAGTAAAGAATGAATTGAAAAATAATGAAACCATAAATATAGAGCTGCCTGGCACCTTGGCATGCAATCTCAACAAGTGACTTGACAAAATACTGTGAAAATGCATTTACATAATATAGAATTAAAAGGTTTAAATACCTTAATAAATTTATGAGGTGCTGGACATATAACTACAATTCTTACATCAGCATCCTAAAACACAAAATTAATTAATATTGTTGAACATCTTTCTTATACACAGACAAAATGGAACGGAATATTTTGGAGAATGCTAAAAGATATGCAAAGCCATTCAATGGATACACATAGCACACCCCAAAAGACAAGTTAAAAAAAGAGTAGTTCACTCCCCTATTGAATACCCAATATATACCCAGGGTTCAGAGTTGAAATTTCTAACAACTTGTATAGCAAGAATTGTACAGCAATTCATCCTTGTGAAAACCTATTTCAGGTATATTTAGTAAGCTAACAGATAAGTTTATTCATAATATTTGCAATAATAACTACAAACCTGAAGATATTCCAATGGTACCACAGCTAAATCTGAAAAATAAATTGACATTTATATTGAATATAAATTAAAAGAATTATATTTCTACTACAACTTGTACTGCAACTGTGGCTAGATTCATTAAGCAAGACAGGGCATTCTTACCCATGTGCCAATCTGTTCTAGATTCACTTTTGTACTCAACAGAGATCGACACTTACTCCCCACACTTTTGCTTCTCAAATATCTTTCAGGAAAGAGAAACAGTAGGTGTGGGCTATGCCATGCATAAAAAGGGGAGCTTGAACCACAAACTCTTCAAAAAATTAACTCACCTTCTACATATTCTTTACACATAAAACACAATAGATGCTGAAATATAGAACATGGTTGAAGCTTTGTTGTTTTATCAATTCAAGTGAGAAAGTCATTGAAGTAAAGTGTCTGATTATAGCCAAATGGACAATCAGAATATCATGCATGGTTGACTTTATCTATGTCAAAGAATTATAATACTATGAAGATAAACTTTGAAATAAATACATCGTTTAACCAATGAAAAGAAACCTTACATATATCTTTATGGGAGGCTATGGCACTAACAGTAACATGTTACTCACCCTTGTAAAAACTATAATGGTTTTCTGTTTTTTATAAACATCTCCAAACTTAATTTTATTGCCATTTTCATCAAAAACAATTTGATTTCCAATTGATACTAAATCCAACTCGTCTACTTCTGTTTCTTGTCGAACACCACGTGAAATTTTCATTTTTTGATTCACCTCTTTCACGGCATCGGGATCCTGTTCGACAATGTCTGCATCCGACATTTTGAGTTCCGATTTTCACAAAATAAACCTAGAACGCTTTGAAAAGATTTTAGGTAATTAAGTCACTTAAATTTAATTTTAATCAAAGAGTGTAAACGAACAAGTTGCTTCACGACATGTAAACAAATCGTAGCGCCTCTACATAATCAAGAGTTGTCTTTTCTTTAACAGGTGCTTGTAGTCTTTAATGTCAAGTCTTTCCCTTTGTCACGCGCATAGCTTAAATACAGGCAATATAATAACTATAAACCTTGACAGCTTCTCACTCAATTTAGAGATAATCCTTGAGTTAATCCTTTGACCTTGCCCTTTCCTCGGGTTATCCGTAACCATCATCGTTCGACCCAAGCTCCTTTATCTACCCATTTACAGCTTGCTAGACCAGAACTTAAAAAACTCTTGAAAGTTGAAATTGTCATGTGAAAAAAATGATATTTGGTGTTCATACTTTACATGTGTATATTGATGAAATGCTGGACAAGTTCGATATTCTGTCTACTTGTCTTAGCCATCATTGTCTTAAAAACTCAATAAAGGATACAGAACTTAATAATGCTTAGGTACAATGATGGGATTGTTTAATACATTACAAAATTTGATGCGGTGTGGGTCACACTATTGGGATGACAACAAGGGTTGGATAAAATAATTAATTATCAACGCCATGCATTTCAAATTTCGATTATCAATTATTAAATTTGGTAGTTAATACCCACCGCTAATGAACACTTATTTCATGTTGACCCTAAGTGTGCGTTAGTAAAAACAAAAGTCATTGTTCACAATAGATAGATTTATTACAACAAAAAATTGTAGATTTACACTTTTAAATTTTCCATCACAGATAGACTTATATCTGTAATATTAAAATGCTTGTCATAAAAAGAGCATTAATATTCTCAAAACATATAAACTAGGGCTATCAAAACACTGTAGAAAACGGACACATATAACAAAAAAACTGCTTAAACTTTAGCAATCAAAACATACAAAAATACATTTATTTTTCTTAAATTTGTCACACCGGGAAACTTTGAACGAGCATTTTCTTGCACACCTATTTGGTGATTTTCAGTCATAATTGTGTACCTTTAATATTCAACTCTCGCTTTCAAGATTCAAATTTCTCGATATTCACTGATATTAAAATCAGAATTTCAGATTTACATTCATATAACATTCAGTGTAAACTAATATGTTTATTCAATTGTTTGATCAAGGTAAATGCTTTACCACAAACACCACATGTACAAGGTTTCTCTTCCTCAGTTGGAGGTTCATTGTACAATGTTCCTATAAACTTTGGTCCACTATCAAAACTATGACTATTAATCGTACTGAACTTGTCAGCTAAATGTGTTCTGAAATGCTTCTTAATACCATTGTTGCTTTTAAATGCTTTATTACAAACATCACATTTAAAGGGTTTCTCTCCAGTATGTTTTCTCATGTGTCTCTTCAAGTCATTTGTTGCAATAAATGATTTATCACAAACACCACATTTAAATGGTTTATCATCAGAATGTATCTTCTTATGAAATAATAACTGGCTGTTTGCTGTAAATGATTTACTACATACATCACATTTATAAGGTCGCTCACCTGTATGTTGTCTCATGTGTATAGTCAAATGAGACTTGGTAGAACAGAACTGACTACAAACATCACATTTATAAGGTGTATCACCAGTATGTATGATTTGATGCCTTCTTAAATGACCTCTTTCATAAAATGCTTTATTACAAAATTCACATGGAAAGCGTTTCTGTCCAGTATGTGTTCTTTTATGAGAAGTGAGATTTCCATTTTCAGCAAATGACATACCACAGACATCACATTTGTAAGGTTTTTCTCCAGTATGGGTTCTTATATGAGTTCTCAATTTCCCAATTGAAACAAATGATTTATTACATACATCACATCGAAATTCTGAGAATGGTTTTATTCTATCATGCATTAAGATATGTCGACTCAGATTTGCTTTTTCAGTGAATGATTTACCACAAAGATTACAAGTAAATTGTTCCTCTATCGGAGGCTCATTGAGATGTTTCTTTATATGAGCTTCATAATACCATTTGCGACAAAAAACTTTACCACAAACATCACAGGTATGCTGTTCATCTCCTGTTAGATTGTTAATATGGTTAACAATATGTCTAAACAACTGATTAGAAGTAAATATTTCTCCACAAACTCCACATGGGGCATTGAAAGAAAAACTATTTGGCATCATTTTCACATAAGATTTCTCACTGCTATGTTGTAAATCCAGTTACTAATTCATTCCTTATATCTTCTTTATCATTCAGTTCTCTGATTTATTTTGTCATAGAGAAAAAACCAACCCTGAAACAAAAAAAGCCAAAAATGAAATCATCAATGTCAATGAATAATTATAACTTATATTTACTTATAAGATGGAATATTAGCTGTGGTTGCAGACTTGCAATTTTGGCAATTGGCCTACAAGTTAAAACATTTGAAATCTGGCATCAATACCCCTAACATCAATATCGTGACTGTATGGTAACCAACTGAGTAATAATATTCCTTTGGAAAACAAAGGAATAAGTTCATGCTCTAACACAATGAATCGAATGATAAGACAGTTTAACTTGGTTGACAAGACGCACCGGAAAAGAAATATTCGTATTACCTCCTTTATCCGCAAAAAAATTCAACACATTTTCAATTTGAAGAAAAGTGTTGTTACGATATACCAATTGATCGACCCAGATATAAGTTCGGGAAATAATCTTGTCAAGAATTGCAGAAAATATTCGAGGAATCTCGTGTATTATTCTCTTTCCGCCATTTTAGATTTCTGTAGAAGGTCAAGGTCATCTGGCAAATCGGACAAATGTCAAATCGTCCACTCTGGCAAAATATTCATATTCCTAAAAAATATCGTTTATCTACTGTCAGTGTGGTTTCAGACTCAGTTAGACTTAGTCAGGGGTTGTATTTAGTTTGATGAAAATTCGGAAATATAAATAGGTAGTATTGCTTGTAGGGTGGGCCATGGTTGCACTTTTCGAAGCAATTGATGGTACTTTTCTTTAGAGGAGTCCGCTTATAACAACTTTTATTCTCGAATTTGCGGTTCTTTGATTCAGGTTTAAGATGGATGGAGTTGTCTTGCTTGTGCAGATTTTTATTAGGGTGTAATGAGACAAGTTAGTGTTTCAGTCATCTGACTTATCAATCATTAAAATGCTAGCTCTGCTGACCAATCAGATAACTGCATTTATTCAAATATTGATTTTATCTTGGTAATATTTAGTGAAACATGCCCGTGGTAATAATGTTAGCTACTCTGTTGATTCCAAACTATTTATTTATATAAATATGAAAAACATTTTAACTTAATACAGTATAACAGTATATTTGCAAATCTTGGCACAATGAAAAAAAATTTAACGGGCAGTCTACAAGGTAAAATGAACAATAATAGAAATGAAATACATGTACAAACACACAACTCATAGCAAGAATACCAGACATCAAATATGTATTTTGAGGTAGAATGAATTCTGAATTATGTCTTGGGTATAAATGAACACAATGTAATGGTTGTTTCAATTGCTATTTTTTCCATGCTAGACTGTCCTTTTACATGGACATAGAGTTCTAACCAAATGTACACAAATATCTCTGCATGACCAATAGATAAACTAAATAACAATCACAAAACATCATTTAATTATATTGGCATATCTCCAGTATGTACCTTAATATGCCTAACTAAGCCACTACTTGTTGTATATGATTTACCACATGTATCACACTTATAAGGTTTCTCTCCAGTATGTGTTCTAGTATGCTTTTTTAATTTAGAATTGGTGGGAAATGATTTACTACAAACACCACATTTATAAGGTCTCTCTCCAGTATGTACCCGTATATGTAACATTCTTTTAGAACTTGTAATAAATGATTTACCACAGAAGTCACATTTGTAAGGTTTTTCTCCAGTATGAGTTCTGAAATGATCAGACAAATGACCACTTGTTGTAAATATTTTTTCACAAACACTACATTTAAAAGGTTTCTCTCCAGTATGACTTCTAAGATGTACAGTAAAATGGCCTTTGTAATTAAAAGATTTACCACAAACAGCACAAATGAAGGTTTTCTTTTCTCTGTGGATTTTCAAATGTCTGCAAAATTCCAACTTTGTTAAAAACATTTCACTACAAACTTCACATTTATAGAGTTTACCTCCATTATGAGATTTAAAATGTGTTGTCAATATATGTTTTCTAGAAAATGTTTTAAAACAAATATTACATTCATAAGGTCTCTCTCCAGTATGTGTTCTTAAATGCATAGTCAATAACTGTTTACGAGAAAATGATTTGCTACAAACATCACATTCGTATGGTTTCTCTCCAGTATGTGTCCTCATGTGAATAACTATTTCAAACTTTCTATAAAAATATTTATTACAAACATCACATTTAAATGGTTTCTCTCCTGTATGAGTCTTAATGTGCACATTCAATGAACTCGTGTTTGAAAATGACTTATTACAAACATCACATTGATAAGGTTTCTCTCCTGTATGACTTCGAATGTGTCTGGTCAATTCAGTCTTTGTACCAAATGATTTACTACAGTAATCACATATTAAAGGTTTCTTCACTGGAAAAGTAGATTTTTGCACTGGAAGTTCACAAGTTGTTTTATGCAGTGAATAAACATGCCAGAAAAGTTCGTCAGATGAATTGAAAATCCGTCCACACACCCCACAAGGGAAACAACTACTGTTCTTGGGAAGCATTTTCTATCCTGTTACATTCTGTTTATACTTAAATCATTGTTCACTCCAACTAGTTGCTTCTATTATAGCTGTTTCTTCTGATCACTGCCAGATTATTGCTTTCTTTTCTTTTCTGCAATACTGAAAATACCATTGGAATCTAACAATAGCACAAGACACCTCTATTAGACTACCTAACACAAGACAAGTAGGTAGGTTAGGTTTATATATTTGTCTGTTTCTAAAACTTGATATCAACCTCTCCTTTTTACATTACTGAAATCTAGAGCAAAGAAGTAGGACATGAAACTTATTTTCATTTTATGTCATGAATATATAAATAAAATAAAGGTAAGGTATATTGGATTACCAAAGGTTTTTAATTTTTTACTATATTGGAATTCCGTCTCAATTTGGTTGAAATTGAGTGAATAGACGCACCTAAAATTCTTAGTGGTGAATTTTGATTTGTTGCTCAATATCGAAGACTACCCAAACGTCAAGGCATATTCTAGTTAACTGGATAATTATAGTAACACTTTCATTATTGAGCAGCCGTATGTTTGTTATTAGCAACAAGATTTCAGAAAAAAATTATCGTCCGCTACAGCTTCCGCCATTTTTAAAATTTAACGGTCAAATTGTCCAATCGCCAATTCGTCCATCGTCAAATCGCCTTCGAACTCTACAATGAATTCCCTTAAACCATCTGACACGTTTTTTGTCTTTTCATGGGAATGACATTTCTTGAGATCTCTGATAAGTAAATTAACATATTTGTTTACATTAACAGCAATGCATGGATGAAAAAAAATATTCCTTTAATCTGTTGCTATGAAAGAATCAATAACTAAACAGTTACTAATCAATGCCCGATATCTGAATGTTTGCATCAAATTTTCTAAGATCTTGTTAATTAAAATATAATATGTCGTAAAAAGTTCTGAAAGCTTATCCAGTTATTAATCCATTTGTCACATCAGCAAGGCTAGATAGGCCTATAGTGTTCCAGTCATCTATTCCACATCACTCAACTTTTAGTGAACTCTTCCTCACATGCACCCTTTCATTCAATATACAGTGTATGATTGGAACAACTATTTCGTAACTATGGGGATGGATGTTTCTTGTCAAATTGTGTCCAGCCTTGCAGATTTGTATGACACAGAAGTGAAAGCAAGTGGCAAATTTTATAATGCTGGTAATGTATTGTTGTAACAAAAGGGAAGTCAGATGGAGAAAAATAAAACAAATCTTTGATTTCTTTTAATAAGATTTAAATATAAATATTTTAATGGATTTACTACAAACATCATATTTTAAGATTTCTTCTTTGCATGTGTTTTTGTATGCAGTCTTAGTTTATAATTGGTAGGAAAGGATTTACTACAAACATCACATTGGTAGGGTTTTTCTCCAGTATGTGTCATCATATGATAAGTCAATTGCTGTTTTGTTGGAAAAGATTTACAACAAGAATCACAATCGAAAGGTTTCTCTCCAGTATGTGTCTTTAGATGAATCATCAATTGCTGGTTTGTGGTAAATGATTTATTACAAACACCACATTTGAATGGTTTCTCACCAGTATGTGTCCAAATGTGTCTATCTAAATGTGCTTTTCTACAAAAAGATTTACTACACACATCACATTCAAAAGCTTTCTTTCCAGCATGTGTTTGAACATGAACATTTAATTGAGATTTACTAGAAAATGAATTAAAACAAATGTCACATTTATAGGGTTTCTCTCCAGTATGTATCCTCATATGTAAAGTCAACTGAGATCTGGGATAATAAGATTTACTACAATAATCACACTTGAAAGGTTTTTCATCCACATGTGTCCAACTGTGCCCCAATAAATATTTCTTTAATGTAAATGACTTGCTACAAACATCACATTGATAGGGTTTCTCTCCTACATGAACACTAGTGATGTGTTTAGTCAATTCAGTTTCCGAAAAAAAGGAATCACTACAAGCATCACATTTGATAGATGCCGGCTCTAAAAATTTCTGTGATGTTTTGTGAAATTTATAAACATGGAAGAAAAGTTGATCATATGAATCATAAATTAGCCCACAAACTCCGCAAGGGAAAAAACTGTTTTTAGGACGCATTGGGTGTCCTTTGTGCCCAGTTATTGATGTTGTTGAGCTTGACAAAGCAAAATCTGTAGCTGGCTTCTCTATTCAACTTGGCCTACGGTGGGCTACTGTCTATCGGGTATTATTACATATTATCTTTACTGTTTAGTTGCATTTATTTCAATTAAAGTTTCTGTTTCGTGTGGTGGATTAGCTAAAATTGGTAGTGGTAAGGTTTTTTGAAATAGCCTATATTGGTTGATTTGAGTGCATAGACACACCTCGTCGCCTCATTAATATATTCAGTTCTAATCGGAATTTCCACGTATTCTATATACCGGTACTACACAATGTGCAGGAGACAAAAGACCAGAGAGGCATAGAATTTAACGATATGTTGAATTAAGACTTCACTATTGCAAAATTAACGCGAGATTTTCGTTTCATCCGTTAGAAATTTCTACCATTTTGAATTTTACTATTCGGTCAAGGTCATCGGTCAAATCGCCTCTTTGTCAAATCGACCATGAAAATCAACTACGTTGATACACAATCAAAAACATTTTGACTTTCATTTATCTATCTTAAGCTAATTGATACGTTAGCTGTGTTGCTAGTTGAATCCATTGTTTAAATGTCCCCAGTATAATATGTAATCATGTTATTTTCAATATATCAACCAACATTTACTTGGATTCCATTAACCAAAACCGTCATATACCCTCGGCCTCAACTCTCAAGTAATATAGTAAAAGCAAATGATGTTAATGTTGTGTAAGGTCTCTTATTAGTGGCCAGTTGACCAGATGCTCAGGTATATTGCATAAGTGTGTGACAGGTAAACCAGCTGTTGAGGTTGAAAGGGTTCAGACCCATACTTCAGTATGAATGTGCACACAGTATCTCCTATTAGAGACCTTGTAGAGAAGACTGCAATATTTAGGCAGGGGAGAAACCAGTGATGATGGAAATATAACATGCCATTTCTAGTTTAAGGTATATTAAGGGATTATAGGACTTTCGTAGAGTAAGTAAATCACCTTTATTTACCTTTAGAACCCAATTCCAACAATTTTCAGCATGAATCTGGATGTTTAGTTAAATGTTTGAACAAGGTAAATGATTTTCCACAAACACCACATGTACAAGATTTTTCTTCATAATATTTAAATAAATAAAGAGTCAGATGTAAATGATTTACTACGGATGTTACAAACACCAGGTTTCTCTACAGTATGAGCACTGATATGTCTTGACAACTGTTTTATTAAACTAAATGATTTACCACAAACACCACATGTAGAAAGTTTCTTCTCCTTTAATTGATGCAATGAGCCATTCAATACCAAAATATTTTGTCTAGTGACTTTGTCAGTTGTATGTTTTTTGGCATGTTGCTTCAAACCATGCCTTCTTTTGAATACCTTACTACAAATATCACATTTAAAAGGTATCACACCCGTATGTATAACCTTATGTTTGTCCAAATGACTTATTTTATAAAAAGTTTCATCACAAACATCACACTCAAAGCGTTTCTCTCGATTATGTAATCTTTTGTGGTTATTTAAAGTACTCTGTTGAGCAAAAGATTTATTACATACATCACAAATGAAACGTTTTTCTCCAGTATGTATTCTCTTATGAGTATTTAGATTACCTTTCTGTGCAAAGAATGTATCACAAACATCACATTTATAAGGTTTCTCTCCAGTATGTATCCTTGTATGTGAGGTCAGAGTACCATTTGTAGCAAATGATACATTGCATATGCCACAAGTGAAAGGTTTTTCTCCAGTATGTGATCTCACGTGTGCATCAAATTTCTTTATCGAAGAAAAGAATTTACCACAAAAATTACAAGAGCCTTGTTTCTTTTTAGAGGCCTTAATGCGATGCTGCTTTAGATGTGCTTCAAAATTCCATTGGAGAAAAAAAGATTTTTCACATTTATCACATTCGTAAGGTTTTCCTCCAGTATGTATTCTTTTATGTGCAGTAAGAGAACTATTTTCAGTAAATGTTATATTACAAACATCACATTTGTAAGGTTTCTCTCCAGTTTGATTCTGTGATTCTAGAAGTTCCTCTGTAGTAAATGATTTATCACTAACATCACATGTATGCTGTGTGTCTTCTGTTAGATTGTTAATATGGTTAACAATATGTCTAAATAACTGATTAGAAGTAAATATTTCTCCACAAACTCCACATGGGGCATTGAAAGAAATTTTATTTGGCGTCATTTTCATGTTGACTTCTTACTCTTCTATAGTAAGGTTCGTTACATGGTCATTATTTTCACGTAGATTTCTTACTTCTTCTGTAGTAAGGTTGTTATAATGGCATTATTTCAGGTAGATTTCTTTATTCGTTTGTGAAATGTTACTTATTTAGTAACTTCTTTATCAGTCAGTCTCCTGAAATGAATAAAGTCCCATTATCATTTGTTACAAAACAATAAACAAAGGAGAGTTTTCTAAATTAGTATATTGTGTATAAGGGACACTGATAGCATTAATTTGCATCATTCCTATATTCTGTGGATCCTGCAATTCGACTAAAACTAAGCTTTTTAAGATGTCATGAAGTGCCTTATGTGATAAAGCATATTTTGTGATTAGTGACATCATCGAACACTTAGTTTAAGTGGAATTGCAGGAAGCACAGACGTCTATTGGTTCATTATGCATAACTCTAACTCTATAAGCATAAAAGAAAAGATATAAAATGAACCATATTCAATAACAAAAAATAAACATATTGAATATATCAGTTGAATTGCGATGACAAGACGCACCATAACTATAAGCAAACCGTTAAAAATGCCTTCATTATCTATCAGAATAATTCGGAAACAACAGAGTTTTAATATTTCATTACAATATATTGATTGCTTTATATTTCAATGTAAGTTTAAAGGCATCAAGGTGGATAAAATTTACACAACGCTTCCTCATTAATAAACTTTGTTTCCGCCATATTTGATTTCTTTGCACGGTCAAGGTCATTAGGCAAATTGCCACTTTGCCAAATCGACCCTCTCACTGAGAATGGACTTTTGTGATAATTATACAGCACTCAAATTTATTTAGCGGATTAGTTTATGAATGAAGTCATACAAAAACATTAAATTCATGTTTGAAATTTGCAGACAACTGACATTTTTCAGTCTTTGCTGAAGTTTAACAAGTAGTCTTAAGATAAATTTGACTTGGACATCCTTCTTATTTGCACTCATTGAGCTAATGAAGACGGGCAACGCCATGCAGTTGGCAGTGAGGAAATTTTGCCAAAACAGCAGCATTAGCCTACTCTTTTTTCCATTTCCATTTGTCAGATTATAGTCCCTACAAGCTTTTCTATGTCAGACACTAGAACAGCTGGAAAAATAATAATTACTCAATGATATCCCTAATATTCCCATTCATGAATACAGAATATTTTCAATCTGTATAAAACAAGACAACACAATTGGCCTTTATTACAAATAAATTCTAACAATTTTCAACATAATTCTGGATATGTTCAGTTAATTGTTTTAACAAGGCCAATGATGAACAAGGTTTCTGCTTGGAATCACTGTATAAAGATGAGTTAGAGATAAATGATTTACTACGAATGTCACATAAGCCAGGTTTCTCTACAGTATGAGCTCTGATATGTTTTGACAAATGTTTTCGTAGATCAAATGATTTACCACAAACACCACAAGTACAAGGTTTCTCTTTAGAATATTCATATAAAACAGAGTCAGATGTAAATGATTTACTACAAGTGTCACGAACACCAGGTTTCTCTACAGTATGAGCACAGATATGTCTTGTTAAATGTTCAATAAAGATAAATAATTTACCACAAACACCACATGTAGGAGGTTTCCATTCTTCAGTTTGAGGCATCATAACCAACAAATATTGTCTTTCAGAATCATGTCTATTAGATTTGCCAACAAAATTATCTCTCATGACTTTCTCATGTCTTTTAGCATGATATTTCAAACAATTCCTCCTTTTAAATGATTTACCACAAACATCACATTTATAAGGTTTATTACTAGAATGTATGACCATATGACTTTTCAATTGAGCTTTTTCATAAAATGATTTACTACAAACATTACAAATGAAGCTCTTCTCTCTGTTATTTATTATTTCACCAGTATTCGGATCACATTCAAATTGTTTTTCTCTATCGTGTATTCTTTTATGAGTGTTAAGATTACTTGGATGCATAAAAGATTTATCACAAACATCACAAATGAAAGGTTTCTCTCCTGTATGTGCTCTTTTATGACTAATTAGATTACCTTTTTGTGCAAAGGATGCACCACAAACATCACATTTATAAGGTTTCTCTCCAGTATGTAACCTTGTATGCATGTTAAGGGTACCATTTGTGGCAAATTTTGCATAACAAATGTCACAAGCGAAAGGTTTTTCTCCAGTATGTGATCTTGTATGTGCCTCAAATTGCTTTCTTGAACGAAACGATCTACTACAAACATTGCATTTTGTGTCTTTGATTTTCTGCTTTGGAGTCTTAATGCGATGCTGCCTCAGATGTGCTTCAAAATTCCATTGGAGAAAAAATGATTTTTCACATTTATCACATTCGTAAGGTTTTCCTCCAGTATGTATTCTTTTATGTGCAGTAAGAGAACTATTTTCAGTAAATGTTATATTACAAACATCACATTTGTAAGGTTTCTCTCCAGTGTGATTCAGTGATTGTGATTCTAGAAGTTCCTTTGTAGTAAATGATTTATCACTAACATCATTTTCAAGCTGTCCGTCTCCAACTGGTGCATTTAAAGACATTTTATTTGGCATCATTTTCATGTATATTTCTTCCTCTTCTTTATTTAATTTTTTACCATTTCATTTCAGATGTAATCTGTCACAGTGAAAAAACCTGAAATGAAAGAAGCCAAATATCACTGGTTGAGGATTTTGTCAAATTCAAAGCTGACTTAGAATGAAAATTTTTGACCCTCGGTTTACTACATGCAACTATTTGCTTGGTTACCTCTGGGTCTTGGTTTCTAATCTTTGTAGGTGTTAAAGTCTAATGACCTAGAATAAGTCATCTTTCTTCATTATTCCTGTGACCCAGCTGTAATTGGGTATGGGATAATCCAAGAGAAATCAACACCAAGAGGTTTGGCCGGGGATTAGCTGGTAGAAGGACCCTTTAAGAACCTAATTAGTTTTCCTTGTGATGGTTGTTTATTTCTCTATTGGGATATAGAAGCTAAACTTTGGAACCCTACATTCCACGTAAATTCTACTTTTCTAAATAAATGTTATTGTTGGATTGCGTTGAGAAGACGCACCATGACCATAAACAAACCGTTACAACTACCTGGTTTATCTGTACAATAATTAAACAAAACAAATGTATGAGTATATAATTAAAATAGTTTGAATGATTTACGTAGATCTATATTACATGTAGAAAGATTGTGAAAATTAAACAAATGATTCGACATTAACATTTTTCGCCATATTTGATTTCTAAACACGGTCAAGGTCATAAGGCAAATCGCCACTTTGCCAACTCGCCCCCTTACTGATCGAATGGTATTACTTTTCTGAGAAAATTTTGATGTAATATCATTGTCACAATAAAAGAATAGGTTTTTGGTAATCTCTTTTCTTGAACAACAAATTAACGTCACTTGATATAAGTGCAAGGAGAAATTTCAAGCATGGGGATACTTCATAACAAGGTAAAAACCCTAATGATCTAAATCCTGCAAAATGTCTTATTCAATATCAAAACCTAGAAATAGATCACTTATCTTTGCACAAATAGTACTCTCTTAAGAGACAGAACAGGCAGCCACACTACTTGTTCATATGAAAATGGCACTCACATCCCCTTTAAAGGTGACATGAAAAAACTATCAGAGAAAGTATTTGAGGAACTATTTTAATAATATAGTAACAAATATCAGAATACAAAAGAAAGGGTTTTAAAAAGGTTTAATGTCAGGGACAGATATCATTGCTTAACCTCTTGTACAATGGACTATAAATAAATCAAAAGTTGTATGACTAATACTGAAGTCACATGACATGTAAATAATTCAGATTCATAAAAAATATCAGAAACAGACTCAAAGGATATAATCTTGCAGACATTTTGTCTCCATTCTAAATAAATTGTGCAAACAGAAACAAACACAACATATCAATAACCACTTTTTACTCAGACTACAATACATTTTTCGAATGACTGAATTGTCCCATAGAAAAAAACAAAACAAAATTTTTAACTGCATTCTCATCAGTCTTTGTCTTTATGATTCACTTTAATATGTCTATTCAAACGACTTCTAGTAAAATATGTTTTCTTACAAACATCACATTCATAAGGTTTCTCTCCTGAATGGGTCTTCAAATGCAGGACTAACTCTGGTTTGCTAGAAAATGATTTACTACAAACTTCACATATATGAGGTTTCTCTCCTCTGTGTCGCATATAGTGTATATTTAAATGCTGTCTTCGGGGAAAGGCTTTAAAGCAAACATCACATTCATAGGGTTTTTCTCCAGTATGTGTCCTACTATGTAATTTCAACTGAAATTTACTAGCAAATGATTTACTACAGACATCACATCCATGAGGTTTCTCCCCAGTATGTGTTCTTGTATGCACAGTCAATGCTGGTACACTAGCAAAAGACTTCCAACAATAATCACATTTGAAAGGTTTTTCTCCAGTATGTGATCTATGGTGCACAGTTAATTGTCTATTTGATGAGTATGTATTACCACAAATATTACATACATAAGGTTTCTCTCCAGTATGCGATCTTATATGCACAGTCAAAGCCTGTTTTGTATTAAATGATTTACTACAGGTATCACATTTGTGGGGTTTTTCTCCAGAATGAGTTCGCTGATGTACTACCAATTGCTGTTTTGTGGGATAAGATTCAGTACAAACATCACATTCAAAAGGTTTTTCTCCAGTGTGTGTCCGCAGATGTACAATTAAAGTCTGTTTTTTACAAAATGATTTATTACAAACACCACATTTGAAAGGTTTGTCATCAGACATTGTCTGCTTTGTCGATTGAGGTGCAAATGAATTACTACAAAGATTAATCTTGTATGGTTTATGTATGCCTTTTGTGTTAAAAGACTGACTATAAACATTACAATGATTGGATTCCTCTCCTGCATGTACAGTGTTGATATGTTTTGTCAATTTATCGCTTGTCACAAAAGCTTCACCACAAACATCACTTGTTACAGGTTTCTGATCCAACAATTCAGATGGTGCTTCATGATAAGAATGCACATGCCAGAAAAGTTTATCAAAATAATCAAAAATTTGTCCACACACTCCACAAGGGAGACAACTGCTTTCAGGAGACATCGTACTGTTTTCTGTAGAGAGAATTCAATTCAATTCCATTTTATTATTTTGTCTCTGTTAGGTTTATCATGTTTACTGAAATACAAAAAAGTCATTAACCTTTTATTTATGAATTACATTTTGGAATGGGTTGTTTCATAAATATCAAACTTAAATTTGGTAATGGGCTCTTGGGGTTAATAATTCCATTTCAAACATAGAACTTAAAAATAACATGCATTTCAAAATAAAAACTCAGTAAAAAAATATTTAAAAGATTAATGATATTCAGTTGTAACTGTAGTCAGTCAGTATATTGATAATCCAACAGTTAATTCAAGTTTTAATTGCAAGTGCCAGGGAGGTCTAAAAGTAACAAGAGTAGGATCCAACCAGGTCGAATTTTGAGTGTGTAGACGCACCTGGTGTAAATCTTCGCATTGCATTCAGATTTAACTCGTGGATCTGTCAGTATTTCAACATTCACTGTACCTTGCAATTCTCCAGATTATTTTGCAATACATTCCAATAAAAATACAGCTGAAAGTCTTCAATAAAATCAATATCTAACCTAGGACAAAGAAATTTTGTTCGGTTTGGCAGTAATATCCGCCATATTTAATTGTGTTAAAGGTCATCGGACAAATCGCCAAATGGACAAATCGCCACGTAAGTCAAACCGACCATCCACATTAATCCAAAACTTTAGGGCTTATATATTGAATTCATGCTGTAATGTTCTGAATTGATAAAGATTAAATTAATCGCTTGTTCTTCCTCACAATAGACTGGTTTTATGATTATGTGTATGTGTTGATCAAAATTGAAGTCTTAAATTAGGTAGCTTTCTCTTGGTCTGAGGATCTGTCATGGAAAAAGCGTCTAGATGGGATAATAATCCTTTAAGTATCAATCAACAGTGGAAATCGAAAAAAGAGCAGGCTTATGCTGCTGTCCTGGCAAAATTAACTTCATTGCATTGCCCATCTTCATTAGTCCATAAGGTGCAGAAAAGAAGGAATTCCATCTTATTTCATTTCTGCTTATGCGCTACCTTTAGAGTGATAGAAGCATGATGCCTTTTTAAAGGAAAACATGGAGAACAAAGATGGGAAAAATTTGAGTCTTATTAAATGATATAAACATACAGGTAACATGAAATTTCTCAACCAAATTACAATTTCAAGGTAAATAGATAGTGAAATCAGTAACTGTTGTCTGTATGTATCATGAACAAGTAATATAATAAAAATTTAAAGTTGCAATCCCAGGGTAAATAGATAGTGAAATAAGTAACTGTTGTCTGAGAGGAGGTATAGTATAGTATACAGCATGAGTCAATCATGAATCAATTTCATCTGTGACAATAATAATATATCAGTATAAATTCTTTCTAAGCTTCTAGGGGAGGCATTGTGTGCTACAGGCTGTGCATGATAAAGATCCCTCGACAGTTGGAAATCGAAAAAGAGCAGGCAAATGCTACTATCCTGGCAAAATTACTGTACACTGCATGGCGTTGCCCGTCTTCATTAGCATTTAGGTGCAATAGGACATTAAACATTTCATTTAAATCTCTGTACACTATAACCTTTCTCTTTCGCCGAAGTCCACAAACAAATAATTGGATTTCTGCAACAACTAACGATCTTCACAAGCACCTGGTTAATAAATGAATTCTTCTGAACTCTGTATCATATTAAAAGGAAAAGCACATGCATGGAAGAGTTCATTGGAGAATGAGTGGTGTCAACAGTCAAATGATGACTGACACACTATTTACTTCCGCCTCGGATATTCTTTTAGTAAAAATCAGTGATAATTGAATACAGGAGCCACTCCCTATTTCTCCTGATGTATCTTATTAAAACCAGCTTGTAATAAATGATTGACAGCAAGAGTCAGTGAATGTGTTCTGCAATGTCTTTCAAAATCTTTCTCTTTAACAAACGTTTCATTACAAATATCACAATATAAGGGTCTATTTGATCTCTGTCCTGATGAATGTGTTGCAATATGACAGTTTAGATAATGTAATGTTGTAAATGATTTATTACATTCATTACATTTAAAAGGTTTTTCTCCAGTATGAGATCTCAAGTGTCTTTTCAGTTCACTGTTTTTAACAAAAGATCTATCACAAACATCACATTTATAAGGTTTGTCTACTGCATGACGCAGTAAATGGGTTTTTAAGTAACGCATGGTTTTACACGAAGTACTACAATATCTACATTTGAAAGGTTTCTCTCCAGTATGTGTTTTTAAATGCTGATATAAAGCCTTGTGACCAGCAAATGTGCTCTCACAAATTTCACAATTGAAAAGTTTCAATCTGAAATGTGTTTCTACGTGTGCAGCAAGTTCAGTTTTAGGAAAGATTTTTCCACACACACCACAAGGGGGAAACAACTGGCTTTTACTTGGTAACATTTTATGAATATTGACTCCCTCTTTGCCATGACTTTTCAGGTGTTTCAATAATTCAAGGCTTGTAGTAAAAGATTTTTTACAAACATCACATTTGTGCATTTTTTCAGCTTCATGGCATGTTAAGTGATCTTTTAGATGAATCTTGGAGTCAAATGAATTACTGCAGAATTCACATTGATATAGTTTACGTCCGGTGTGTATTTTTGAATGTTTCAAACAATTTAGCCTTGAGACAAAAGCTTTATTACAAACATCACATTTGAAGGGTTTCTCTCCAGAATGGTTCATAACATGCTTAGTCAACTGCTGCCTTCTACAAAATGATTTAAAGCAAATATCACATTGATATGGTTTTATGCCAGTATGTGTTTGGATATGAGAATTTAACTGTTGTTTTCTACTAAAAGATTTACTACACAAATCACAGTGAAAAGGTTTCTCTCCAGTATGTGTCCTCACATGACTTATTAATTCACTATTGGTGTAATATCCTTTACTACAAACATCACATTTAAAGGGAAGATCAATCTTAGCGTGTATCCTCATATGTCTCGTTAAATTACTACTGGAAGAAAATGACTTACTACAAACATCACATGCCAAAGGTTTTTCATCATAATGTATACGGATATGTATGGTCAAACCAGTCTTTGAAGCAAATTTTTTACAACAAACATCACATCTATAAGGTTTCTTTTTTCTAGGTGCTTGATGTGTAGCAAGATGACTGTATAGTTGGTAGCTGGGAAACATTTTGCCACAAACACCACATGTAAATTTCATTTTGTGTTTTAAAACATGCTTGATAAGGAGAGAGTAGGGCACGATTTTGCCACAAATGCCACATGGTTGAGCGGAATAACAGACCTTAGGCATTTTAAGATAATTGATTCCAAACTTGTGTTATTACTTCATTTCAAACATTCCTTAATGAGTTTTTTGAACTCATCAGGCTATTCCTCTCATAGATTGAACCCTTTGATAGTGCTGTTTTCACTAAGATCTTTATTTCAGAATTGGAAAAACTCTGTTCACTATTCCTGTCTGAATGGCGACAAATTTTTCACCTCTCTTTCTTAAATTTTTCTATCTCCGAATTTTCATAAATCTCTGCAAAAAAAAATCAACATATACAATAAGTAAGTACATCATCTATTTCAGCACTTGAGTGTGTTGAACTGAGTATTATTGAGTGATTAGACGCACCAAATAAAAAGCTGATATAAACTTGTTTCTGTCATTCTCTGTGATTCCGGAGTATCTTATGATGAATTCCTAATGATTCAGGATATCATCAAACACTAAAACGCGAGCTCGGGGCATTACAAAATGGTACAATTTCATTAAGAAATTTGAAATTCAGCGTTTCATCTTTGTTCTCTTTCCATTATTCGCCATGTTCTATTTACATTTCCGGTCAAGGTCATTAGACAAATCGTCCACTTTTATTGACAATCTGTCCATATTTGCAAGTCGATCATCGAAGGTTTGGTGTAGAATCCCAAATTTTGTCTTGTTTTGAAGGAATTTGAACCTAATCTATCGATATATTATGTTAATTCAGTGATCAATCTATGACCGAGAGAATCCTCTTCAACCAACACTTTCTAGAGTATGTACATAAATTCATTCTTGGAGAATATGTTATAAGGCAATAATGCTCAAAGGTTGAAATTGTTATATCTTCAAGATCAATTCATTAAGACACCAAGGGAGAGGTTTTTTACATTGTTTATGACTGTGTATCATTGACTCAGATGTCTGTGGGTCTTGCAATTCCACTAAAACTAGGTAATTTATGATGTCCCTTTAGTTTAGTTACCAGAAGCTGTTAATAAATTTTTAGTAGTTAAAAAAAGAATCAGATGTATCTGACATATAAGTAAAGAAATCCTCTTTATAATCCCATTAAAGGAAGAGGTGCGCCATTTCAAGGGTTGATTTGAGTCTTGAATATATGTAAATAGTTTTCAAAAGTACTAGAAATGTTTGAAAATCACTAAATTTTTCAAAAATATCCTAGTAATTTCTTTTCCTATTTCTATATATATCAATCACGAGTAATTCTGGACACACATGGATTTGAATAATGAAATTTCAAAGGTGAGCTGTGAATACTGGTACTATTTGGTATGATTGGTCAAAAAAATGGCTCAATTGTACCTTTAAGAAGGAACACTCCAGACCAGCAATTTCTCAGAAGCATTGCTCTGGCTATATACAATTTATGACATTATTTATTTGGATCTTAAATAATCCACCATGGCTGGATGACCGGTGATGTCCAGTAAGCTAGCTAAGCAGACACAAAATAACGAGATTATAAGTACACATATCAGACAAAATAAGACAGCAGAGTGATTTATTCACAATTGACAATATACAGTAGAATATGGTAAAATATAAAATTTAAACCTGAGATATTTAATTGTTATGATAACTTGTGATTTTGTTTATTAAATTAAATATGTGTATTGTATTGGTTTACAACTGGTTTCCCCCCTGCCAGCTTCCCCCTGGTTTGCTAGGTGGCAAGTTATTCAACTAGGGTTGAAAGAGTTTTTCTAAAAAAATTGTGTGTAATGGGGACACTGATAGCATCAATTTGCACCATTTCATTTCAGTCAGACATCTGTGGTTCCTGACATAACAAGCTTACTCTTAGTAGGATTTCAAGAGCCACATATGTCTGATTGAAAATTAGAATGGTACAAATTGATACAAATACATTTTTAGAAAAGCTCTTTCAGCCCTAGTTGAATTTCTTGTGACCTAACAAACCAGGGGGAGCTAAGAAAAGGAGTTAAGAAATCAATCATCACTGGAATGACAATTAGTAATTTGGGAATACTTGTTTCTCTCTTCTATTTCTCCTGATGTATCTTATTAAAACCAGTTTGTAGTAAATTATTTACAGCCAAGTTCAGTGAATGTGTCCAGCAATGTCTTTCAAAATCTTTCTCTTTAACAAACGTTTCATTACAAATATCACAATATAAGGGTCTATTTGATCTCTGTCCTGATGAATGTGTTGCAATATGACAGTTTAGATAATGTAATGTTGTAAATGATTTATTGCATTCATCACATTTAAAAGGTTTTCCTCCAGTATGAGATCTCAAGTGTCTTTTCAGTTCACTGTTTTTAACAAAAGATCTATCACAAACATCACATTTAAAAGGTTTGTTTACTGCGTGTCGTTGTAGATGGGCTTTTAAATATCGCATGGTTTTACATGAAGTTCCACAATACATACACTTGAAAGGTTTCTCTCCAGTCTGAGATAAAACTTTGTCACCAGCAAATTTACTTTCCTTTTTTTTCCCTTTGAAATGTGTTTCTACATGTGCAGCAAGTTCACTTTTAGGAAAGATTTTTCCACACACACCACAAGGGGGAAACAACTGGCTTTTACTTGGCAACATTTTATGAATATTAACTCCCTCTTTGCCATGACTTTTCAGGTGTTTCAATAATTCAAGGCTTGTAGTAAAATATTTTTTACAAACATCACATTTGTGCATTTTTTCAGCTTCATGACATGTTAAGTGGTCTGTTAGGTGAATCTTATAGTCAAAAGAATTATTGCATAATTCACATTGGTAAAATTTGTGCCCAGTGTGTATTTTTGAATGCCTTAAACGATTCTTCTTGGAGGTAAATGCTTTACCACAAACATCACATTTGAAGGGTTTCTCTCTAGTATGGGTCAAAGTATGCTCAGTTACCTGCTGTCTTCTGGAAAATGATTTGAAGCAAATATCACATTGATATGGTTTTACTCCAGTATGTGTTCGCCTGTGTGACTTTAAATCTTGTTTTCTACTAAAAGATTTACTACACAAATCACAGTGAAAAGGTTTCTCTCCAGTATGTGTCCTCATATGACTTATTAATTCACTGTTTGTATAATAACTTTTACTACAAAAATCACATTTAAAGGGAAGATCAATCTTAGCATGTATCCTCATATGTCTCGTTAAATTACTACTGGAAGAAAATGACTTACTACAAACATCACATGCCAAAGGTTTTTCATCATAATGTACCTTATTATGTACAGTCAAAGCAGTTTTTGTGATAAATTTTTTACTACAAACTTCACATCTATGTTTCCTGGTTTTAGTTTGATGTGTAGCAAGATGACTGTACATCTGATAATTATGGAGCATTTTTCCACAAATTCCACATGGAAATTTCCTTTTATGCTGCAGAACATGATTTTGCAGCCGAGAACTGGCCACAATTTTACCACAAATGGCACATGGTGGAGCAGAATAACAGATCTTGGGCATTTTATGTTTAATGATTCAAAACTACTGCTAAAATTCCTTTTCAAAGGCTGTTTCCCTCTTGTAGATTGTTTGAAGCTGCCATTTTGTACCTCATCTAAATCCTTTCTTTCCAGTTTACCATGTCTCTGTGCTTTAAGCTTAAAATCTCTAGTTCTGAATTTCATTAGGTATTCTAAGTTTGTTTTTTACTAGTATTTCTAATAAATCAAACAATTTCTGAAAGAAAATGAACATATACAATCACTGAGTATGTGAACAATTCCAGCAAAATCATTATGTCACATCATAAAGAAATATTCATTAGCATCTATCAATGTATTGCCAAACTGTTGTTTTAGATAACAGATTTTTTAGCAGTTTGGACAAGAACTTTTCTTAAATCAACAATGACATACAGCACAGTCCTCAAAGGTACAAGTTGAACCATTAAGCTGCAAAGTAGATTTAACATGAAGTAAACTACTTACTAGTGTGTTGAATTGAGTATTTAGACGCACCCAATAAAAAAAAAATCGTAAGTTTGGCGTAGCTTTTATCCTCTCAGACGACTCTCCTGTACCTTTAAATGACTTCCAAAAGATTTATAATAGACTCATATATAGAAATTTCGCTTTAAGTTTTTGAAAATATTTTATTTTCATTGAGAAAATTCGGTGTTTTATCTTTGTTCTCTTCCTGATAAACTTATTTTCCGCCATGTTTTATTGACACTTCCGGTCAAGGTCATTAGTCAAATCGCCCATTTCGATGGACATTCTGTCCTTAACACCATTTCGACCATCGAATGCAGAAATTAAATTTGTGTTTTGAACTTGAAATATAAACCATAATCATCAGTCACTAATGACCGAGCTTTCCCTAGGCCCCATAAAAGCAGTGATCACCAGCTCTCTGCTGTCTGACATCAAGCATTCTGATCTGTTCACTTCTTGTTCATTTTTGTCCTGAATAATCTAAGATGTCTACCTCATCTATGATTAAGTCTGCTTATGGACGGACTTACGGAATGGAGGGGAGGGTGTAATGTTGGAGAGCACTGCTAAATTATTTTTAGAATGCATTCTAGGAGGGAGGTCAATGGGGTCGTCTGGTGAAAAAAAATGAATATCAAAATCCTATTTTTTATGCAATTATCAATTTTAAAACGAAACAATGCATATTTCCACAAAAATTTGGAGCTGCCACTGGTACGTAGGTAGAAGAAATAAAATTTTACCCAAAAGTAGTTCTTTATTTATAAATAGTTTATCATATTCAAAATATACAATATCTAAAAAAAAAAAAAACAACAAGGGAATATATTATGGTATAACACACTTCTTAATAACAAAGTACATAAGGTAAGAAGTGTCTTATTCCATAATATATTCCCTTGATTTTTTTTGTCATATTTGCTCTCAGCTTCTAAATGTCCTTCTTATATGTATCAAATTGTATTACATTGTACTATATTGCTAGATATAAAGATGTATGTGTTCCTATATGTGAAATCAACTGTTTAAATGTCATAAATGATTTCCCACAAACACCACATGTGCAATCTTTCTCCTTAGTTTTTGGCATAAAGCGCATTTTTAAGGAGTCGCTCGTAGTAAAGGAGTTACTTAATACATTATTTGTTTTAGGTTTCTCTCCTGTATGTATTCTAATGTGTTTTGTTAAATTACTGTTTCTGTTAAAAGATTTACTACAATAAACACATGTATAGGGTTTCTCTCCAGTATGAGTTCTAATGTGTCTAGTCAAATCCATTCTAGTAACAAATGATTTCAAACAGATTCCACATTTATAAGGCTTTTCTCCATGTGTTCTATTATGACTAGTTAAATCACTATTAGTTGTAAAGGATTTATCACAAACATTACATTGAAATGGTTTGTCTCCTAAATGTTTTTTCACATGATTAGTTAACACAAAATTTGTAGTAAATGATTTATCACAAATGCCACATTTGAAAGGTTTTTCTCCATTATGTGTGCGTAAATGTTTCGTTAAAGCATTTCGTGTGCTATAGAATTTCATACAATCATCACATTTGTAAGGTTTCTCTCCAGAATGAGTTCTTATATGCTGAGTAAGAGCACTGCTTGTAGTGTATGACTTATCACAAACATCACAACCAAACGGTCTCTCTCCAGTATGAGTTCGGATATGACCAGTTAACTGTGCCTTTGTAGTGAAAAATCTGCTACAAATGCCACATTCAAAAGGTTTTTCTCCAGTATGTGTTCTCATGTGACTGGCCAATTGAGAGTTCGTAGTAAATAATTTAATACAAACATCACATTTATAAGGTTTCTCTCCAGTATGTGTTTTAAAATGTCTAGTCAGATGACACTTCTTAGAAAATGATTTACTACAAACATCACAACTGTATGGTCTATCTATTATAGACCAGTTCGGCTTGATAACTGTAGCAGGTTCCATAAATGACTTATTACAATCATCAAGTTTTAGAGCTTTCTCTGCCTTTCTGGGATCACAAATATGTTCCAGCTGTTGATTGAATGGAAGGTTTTGTCCCCAAACTCCACCTTGAGAATGAATCGAACTGGGCAACATATCATAATCTCATTTGGTAACTCTTAATTCAATTCTGCAGGTTAGATAACTCCAGTGATCATTTATGTCATTCAAAACTTTATCATTAGAGAGCTGTATACTCATGTCATGTCATCGTTGACTGAAATAGAAAAGCATCAATGATGCATTATCTTTTAATGTAAAATGAGTCAAGGCCCTTCTATCAGTTTAAGCATTTGCTATAGGCCAATTGATGCAATTTACATGTTTAAATGGTTAGTTTTAGTTGAGTTTCAAGAGCCTTAGACGTCTTAATGAAAGTTTGAATGGTGAAAAGCGTACAAATAAAAAGCTTAAAAACCTCGTAAAATCCGTATAAATCACTGAATGTTTACTTAACTCTGGTGAAATTGAGTAATTAGGCACACCCTTCCAAAAAGTAAAAAAAAAAATTCAACGCTACCTGCAATCGATATTTCTAGTTCCCGTCGCAATTAGCTACTTTCCTGTAGCCATACTTAAAGACTATTGTAGTTTGAAAATTATCTGATAGCATTCTTAGCTCTTAAGTAAAGAAACATTTTAGAAAGCTTGTAAAGGGGAATTTTTTGCCAGAATTAAGATTGATGTAATGTCAAGGTCATTAGTCAAATCGCCACCGGAAATAAACTGATTTATTTTCACCGAAAAAGAAATCCCCATGACGTCTTTAGGAATCACCTATGGGCCAATGACTGGGGAGGTAAGACGAAAATGGCCTAAATGGCTAAATTTCAGAATTTGTGATCTGAATTTGTTCCTGCAAGTTTTAGCATGTTACAAGATTCCAAAGGACACGGTGTGAAGCTTAAGTACATATGACAGTGAGCCCTTTACATTGGGTTTCATTGCTGCACTGCTGACTGGTGCGTCTATTTGCCCGATTTCGCCATATACAAGGTCCTATGGCTATGCCTGTGCTTTAATATAACAATAAACAATCCTTTTCTAGACAACTTCTTGAATGGTTTTGTATTGATAACCAGGTATCTTGTCTTCAAATTGTTGCCATTCAATTCGTCAACAAAAATATTGTCAGAAAGTCTATTTATTTACAAGAACTACCTTCATAGTAGTTCTGTTATAGCTCTCTGTGGATATATCTGCAAGCTGTTCTCTCGTACACCTGTTCTAGATGTCACATCTTTCCATAGCTAGAATGTTGTGGTGTCCTTATCATATTTATGGTTCAGGATTTTGTACATTTCAATCATGTCCTCTCTAATTTTAGAACGTTGGTCATTATGTAACGTTCCAGAATGTGGTCGATTCAGAGTGACAGTTATTCCATGGTTAATCATCTTGCCACATTACCTTGTGGAGTTTGTGGAAAAGTCTGTTATAAAAATGAACTGCACACGCACGTTACTAAACATATTATGAAAAGAAATCAGGAAGAGAAATCTTATAGTTGCGTTGTGTGTGATAAATTCTTTGCTACAAATAGTAATTTGACTAGACATATTAGAACACATACTGGAGAGAAACCTTATAAATGTGATGTTTGTGATACATTCTTTACTACAAATAATGAATTTGTGGTACACACTCGAACTCATGTAGGAGACAAACCATTTAAATGTGAATTTTGTAGTAAATCATGTCTTACAGTTAATGGACTGACCAGGCATATGAAAACACACGTGGATGAAAATAGTTACAAATGTCGAATTTGTAGTAAGTCTTTTACTAGAAAAAGTCACATTCCACGACATATGATGACACATACTGGAGAGAAGCCTTATAAATGTGACATTTGTTGTAAATCATTTATTACAAATAGTGATTTAACCGTTCATAACAGAACACATACTGGAGAGAAACCTTTCAAATGTGATGTTTGTAATAAGTCCTACTATTCGAACAGTGATTTGACTTCACATAAACGGCTCCACAGTGGAGTGAAACCATATCAATGTGATTTGTGTGGGAAACTGTTTGCTATGAAAACCAATTTAACGTTACACATAAGAACACATACAGGAGAAAAACCTTACGAATGTGATGTTTGTAGTAAATCATTTGCTACAAGCTGTGAATTATCAACACATAAATGGTCTCATCTTGGTGAGAAACCTTATAAATGTGGTGTTTGTGATAAATCATTTATTCAGAAGTGTCAAGTTAAGGTACATTTGAGGAAACATACTGGAGAAAGACCTTATAAATGTGATGTTTGTAGTAAAACATTTGTGACAAACAGTGATTTTAATTCACATCTGAAGAAACATACAGGAGAGAGACCTTATATATGTGGTGTTTGTAGTAAAGCATTTGTTACAAAGACTGAGTTGACCAGGCATCTTAGAACACATACTGGAGAAAGACCTTATAAATGTGATGTTTGTGATAAATCATTTTCCTCCAAAGGTTATGTTATGAAGCATAGCAAGATACATAGTGAAGAAAAAGTTTCATAGAAAAAAACTTATTTTACTATTCATGCATGTTGTGTTCAGACATTGCATTTAAACTACTGTTTCCGATTGGGTTTCAAACATTTTACAAAATTTAAGTAAGTAAACGTTATGTAAATGGAATGGCAAAGGGAGTTATTTTGTTAAATTTTTCAGAAATCTGACAAATACTAATGCTATCTAATGTGGAAGATATATATCCTCGTTTAGTGAAACACTCTGAATTTCAGAAACAATTAAAAACTTGTGACTTTGTGGTTTTGTTTTTTTTTTTGCTTATATATTTCGTCCTTGAGATATTGTTTTGTTACCAGAGGCCAAAGCAAACCTAATAGACTATAAAATAGAAAAGATTTCATAATAACTGTTGTTGTTCTTTCAAATGACTTTCATTGCATTAGAAACTTGCTTGCTTTCCTACAGGAATCTTCACAATTACCAACTTCCAACTTATACCTAGGCTAGGAAAGCCACTGTTCTTGTATCACCAAATAGATTTAAAGCACAGACACATTCCCCATTGAATGTAGGAAAGAAAGATTGAATTTAATTCCTTTTCCATGGTCGATTTGACAAATGGGCGATTTGTCCAATGACCTTGACCGAAGACTCATAAAATGGCGTCAATTTGCAATGGATGAAACCGAATGTCTCGATTAGGTTATGAACCAATACTTCATGATAGACCCCTACTGATAAAATGAAACAGGAGTCCGACTGATCAAATTTTTCAGTAATAAAATAGCTATGGACTTGATTGTACACTAGAGTAAACTTGTGTTAAAATGATGCCACAGAAGAGTAAGAAGTCTGCATGAAAATGATGCCAAATAAAATTTTTTTCAATGCCCCATGTGGAGTTTGTGGATAAATATTTATTTCTAATCAGTTATTTAGACATATTGTTAACCATATTAACAATCTTACAGAAGATAAACAGCATACATGTGATGTTAGTGATAAATCATTTAGTCTCAAACGATATTATAAATCTCACGACAAAAAACATAATGTCAGTATGAAAGAGAAAATTTTTCCATGCGATGTTTGTGGTAAATTATTTACAACTAAAGGTAATTTGAGTAGACATACTATGATACATACTGGAGAAAAACCAAACATACAATATACGTGTGATGTTTGTAGTAAATCATTTATGTTTAAAGATAGGTTAACTACACATGCCCGAACACACACTGGAGAGAAACCCTTTAAATGTGATCTCTGTGATAAATCTTTTGCCGAAAATGGTAATCTTAATGCTCATAAAAGAATACATGCTGGAGAGAAACGTTTAACCTGTGATGTTTGTAGTAAATCTTTTTATGAAAGAAGTCATTTAACAAGGCATCAGAGAATACATACTGGAGAAAAACGTTTCATTTGCCATATTTGTGATAAAACATTTTATGAAAGAAGTCATTTGAAAAGCCACATGACCAGGCATACTGGTGAGAAATCTTATAAATGTGATGTTTGTAGTGAATTGTGTATTTCAAAATCTCATTTCACTATTCATATGAGAACCCATTCCGTTGATAAAGTGTATAATTGTGATGTTTGTGATAAATTATTTATTACAATCCATGATTTGAGGAGTCATCTAATGACACATACACGAGACAGACCTTACAAATGCGGTGTTTGTAATAAATCTTTTATTAATAACAATGATTTGATAGTTCATATGAGAACACATACAGGAGAAAAACCTTATAAATGTGATGTTTGTAGTAAATCATTTGCTCAACAGAGCACTTTAAATACACATAAAAGAACACATACTGATGTGAAAAATTTCAAATGTGATGTTTGTAATAAATCTTTTTATGAAAGTGTTCAATTGGAAAGACATAGGACTAAACATACTTGTGATACACCTTATAAATGTGATGTTTGTAGTAAATCATTCAAACGAAACCCTGATTTAAAAAACCATGTGAGGATTCATATTTCTGATCAGTTTAATAAACGCAGCTTTATCAGTAAACCACTTACTTTAGCCATGGATCATTCTATACTTCAATCTGAAGAGAAACTTTCTACTTGTGGTGTTTGTGGTAAATCATTTAGTATAATAAAACAGTTGACTATACATATAAAGGTACACATAGACAAAAATGCTGTAGTTATTGAAAATTAATGCTATTTCTTTAGCATGGGTGGAAATAATTTTTTTTTTTTTCCCTGGAAATATACAAATCCATAAATTTGTCTACCAATAAAGTAATGATATTATAATATGATATTGCCTTTTTGGGGGGGAGGAAGGGGGCATTTTTATATGCTCACATCTGTCATATATATAGGGATCTTAAATGGTTTTTTGAGATAGTGGTTTCATAGTTGGTCAAGTTCTACTAGAATCACAGACCTACAATCATCAAATGGGATAGCGGATTGGTAGAAATGGATGACCTAGCCAACCTCTTTACTCTCTCTAATCATTCTGTAGCAACTTGGCAGAGACATCTTGTTGTACATGTACTTTCAATATACCTCTGACATAAAACGATTATTATGTGGGCGATTTGACCAAGAGGCGAATTGACCGGCGGCCATGACCTTAATTAAGAAATGATTCTGATCGAACAAAGGCGAAGCCTGGTACCTAATTTGCAGCATGCATGGTTAGAATTTACATCAGATCAAGGTTTGTAGTAGTCAGTTATGAAATACACATCATTAGTAAAAAGGAAATAGGAACCTAATATTTTCTACTGGTTAAATAAACGCACATTTACGAGGTCAATATTCTCTTTGATAAGGTTTGACTAATGACTCGATTGCACCGAATTTAGCATTCAACTGGTGTTGAATAAGTGATACTTGTTATGAATATTAGGGATACCATAGCTTCCTGTTCAATATATCAAAGCTGCTTCCAATTTCCTACGAAACTTTTATTTTGGAAATTGGTTTTTCGTTTGTTATGCAGTTTGGATTGTTAGTAATTCAGGTTTTTTATTCGCCCCATTCCAATTGTTACCTCCTTGCAATCCTTTATATTTTGATTGATAGTTATAATTTTGGTTTCATTCTTTCAATCTTATTTCCAGTAGGATCTGAAAAGAAAACCTGACTCTGCAATGCTTTATCAGTCAACAGAAAATTGATAATACACTAGTGAAAAATCCACTAGAAAAGAGATGCCAAAGAAATGTTACCTCATTCCCACTTGTGGAGTGTGTGGGAAAATCTTCAGTCCAAATAAGCTAATAAGACATGTAGCTAATCATGTGAGAACGCTGTCAGGAGAGAAAATGTATAAATGTGATGTTTGTGATAAATCTTTTGCTCAGAAAGATCAATTTACATCTCATTTGAGGATGCATACTGGAGAGAAACCTTACAAATGTGATGTTTGTGATCAGTCATTTTCATGGAGAGCTTCGTACAGAAGACATGTTATGAAACACACTGGAGAGAAACCGTACGCTTGTGGTATTTGTTCTAAGTCATTTATTGCCAAATGTAAATTAATTAGTCACATGAGAGTTCATACTGGAGAAAAACCTCATACATGTGATGTTTGTGGTAACAAATTTGGCCAGAAAATTCAACTTGAAAATCATAAAAGAACTCATACTGGAGAGGATCCCTTTAGATGCAATATATGCAACAAGTCAATTTCTTCTAAATTTTATCTAGCTAAACATATCTCACTGCATACTGATAGACCTTACAAATGTGATTATTGTGATAAATCATTTACTACCAATTGGCTTTGTCAAAGACATGCCAAGGGACATTTAAAACCTCATAAATGTGATGTTTGTGATGAAACTTTTGTCCAAGCAATGGAATTGAAGGCTCATTTAAAGACTCACATTGGGAGAAAAAGTTTAAAATGTTATTTTTGTTTTAAATCTATGAAAACCGAGCGTGAACTAACAAGTCATGTAAAAGCTCATGCTGTAGGAAATCCTTTACTATGCACTATCTGTTGTAAATTGTTTAGAACAAAAGAGAAATTAACTGATCATCTGAAGGAACATAGTACAGAGAAACCTAATGGAAGTGATGTTCATAGTAAATCATTTACATCTAGCACTCATTTAGATAGTCAATTGGAAGATAAACCTTGCTAATGTGGTGTTTGTGGTAAATCATTAAGTCTAATAAATCATTTGACTTCTCACATGAAGTCACATACAGATTTGTTACATACTAGTTAAGTTTGTATTTGAATAAACTTTAGATGTGTACTGAGTTTCATTTATTACTAATCAACTAGAAACTAATCCACATTTTGATTTTTAATGGCACCTATCATAAGGGCCTAAAGATTATCAACAGCTTAAGCGAGAATGACGTCATATAGGTTCAGAAATTCTATAATAAAGGAAACCAAAACAATGATACACATAAAAAAAGGCTCTGGTTGCCCTCACTTTCATTTCTAAAGCAGCTTGTTTTATTTAATTGTAGATGTAACAAGCAGCATTGGAACTCAGAATCCTGTGCCCATTTTCATTATATAAATAAAAGTCAACAAGCAATCAACAATTTGATTGATCAAATCTTGTCCAAAGCATGAATAAATTTGGAGTAATGGCTGTATAATAGTGGACTCCTCAATTTCCAAAAAGCATGGTTTGTATTACAATGTACAAGGGTCTGGAGTGAGAAACACAAAACTGGAAAGTCGGGCTATACAACTTGGGGCTCACATACATGGTACAACTTTTTTGAATGTTGAATACAAAGTGGGCGATTTGTCGGATAATTTGAAAACAAATAAGAACGAGTTTTGAAGGCAAGTCCCTTGTAGCTGATGGTAGTGTTTGGTTTCCGAACATTTCAGTTGCTGGCGGCAGTGTTTGGTTTCCTAGCATTTCATGGTGCTATAGTTCTATAAATATAAGCACATACAAAATACTAGCAAACCTCAATCACTGAATTTATCGAACAGACCCGCTCATTAAGTCCAGACTTAAAAACTATCACTTGTTCCACGAGTAAGACCCTTAACACTGTTCTTGACGCTATCTTTTTTTTTACCCAACTAGTAAGATATCGTTGCCTTTACCTTGTGTAGAGATATGCCCTATGTCGTTTCGATATCTGGTTTTCCCCGACAATCTGCTTCATACCCCTTGAAGCACAATTTGTATGTTACCTATAACGTGGCGAATATAAATAAATGCATGATGTATAGTTTGTTTCTTCTGATGAAAATCCAATCACTGCCGCTTTTAACACTTTTCCAATATCAAGGTTGGTTGGTTGGTTAATGGATGATAAGTTAACGTCCGCTTCCAAAAGAGGCTGATAGTTGTAGTGACTAAAACGAAATAGTGGTTTGCCGATATCAAGACCATAACTGCACCTATATACCGACCCATAGCAACTGTCCTAGTAACAACTAATCCCTAGTCTCTAATCCACTCAAAGGATTAACTCATCTGGGAAGGTAATATAAGTTGTTATGCATTTAGTTTACCAACATTTGCAACATACCAGGTCGTCTTACCTTCTAAATCGCGAGTGGCCCAAACATTGATGTGGAACAAGCTCATCCAATTTTTGGACCAGATGCTGCAGACTCAACGTTTGCCCGATTTGAATCACAATATCAGGGGCTATCAGTCCGACTAGTTTACCTAACTATTGTGGGTAATGGTCATTGCAAAATTGCCCTGTCCAAGTCCCGTAATATTAATACCACTTTGAAAAAAAAAACGCTCACAGAATACAGTAAATTAGACGAAAATTCTTATCCATTTGTCTTCTGCAAATTTACGACCTTTGAATTCACTAAGTATTTGGTATCTGTATATCGACTTTCTCGCTCGCTTCGTACATTGGCACAGGCCACCGTCTACGGAAAACGTACCTTGTCTCCCGTACCTAACGGCCATTGTCTACCACTTTTACAGACGCAATCATAACGTCCAATCATGATGAAAGATGCGTACAACTGTAGTTCCATGTGGCCGCAATGCCCGTTTTGAAACGCCGACTCGCCAGATTCGACACTGACAAGAACTATTTATAAGAGAAAATGAAGCTTAGTGTTATAATGTATCACAAGAACAGCTATAATCAGTGGCAATGACATGTGGTACATGACAAACAGATCGATATTCTAACCAAGGTTAATTAGCACCAATTCAATCAAAATTAATCGATAATTCATAAATAATAATTCGTCCCATTCACTAAATACATTATGGCTTAATCCATAATTATACTGTCAGCCAGTCCGAAACTTCTTAACCATAAATTGGCCTCAGAAACACATTAACGCTTACCTTTTTTCCTTGATAGATATCATACTTGTCTGAAACTTGCTGTGGATACTAAAATATGCTTTGCATCACTGACTTGAAAAAAGTTTACATCTGTCGGAGAGCATAATAAATTGTCTGGATATCCGCAAATAAAGAATAGGTTACTTCACTGACCTGGCATAAATTACCTCACGGCATAATACAGCATTGTTCAGTGATGATAGGACAAAGTCTTTCTTTCCCAGCCTCTGATAGCTCTTTGGCAATCTTTTCTGTCAGTTGGAAACTTGTGGAGTTATTCCTAACCTCTATAACTATTTAAAAAGTCGTTTAAGCCACTGACTCTTTAACCAGTGGATAAATAGATAGGTCTACCTCTTTCTCAAAGCTGCTGTCTCCTGGCTTCTGATAGCCATTCTTTGCTTTTGACAATTATCGGCACCTAATTATCAGAGGCCAAATTTGTAGCTTTCGAGCTTTCGGACCAGCTAGTACATGTAGTTTGTTTTATTTAATCCTTTATATGAATTATTTAGTACGACGTTAGAATTAGAACACTGAGAAGCGAATCGACAAGACTAGATTTACTGGCAACTGAGATCAACTGAATAGCCACATTCAAAACTCAGTCGTCGAAAGATACTATTATTGAGAAAAGTATGAACAACTTATGTTAACTGCAGTATTTCAGTCATGGATGTAGCACTCAAATTCATCTATTGATAAGGATCTCTTAGACGCCGGCACTGGCTAGATGTCGTTGTTAAACCAATTGTAGTTTTATTCTAACAGTAACAGTAACAAGATCGACCCAAGCAATCAGCACCCCCCCCCCCCCCCCCCCCTTGACATATTCAAATCGTAATTAACAACAAGTCATTGACAATATCTGATCGATATGACTATCTGTCAGATATAACTCAGAATAATTCAATTATTGACTTCTCTTGCCAGATTGACAAGTTTCCGATTAGACACCTGTCCGATTTGACTATTTACCTTGACCGAAGAATTATTAAGAAAACTTTACTTCTGAGAAAGCTCAAATCTCATTAATAGTATTTTCTAAAACCATCGAATTTAACCAGTATCTGTAAAAATAGATCATCGAGTAGGAAAAGATGCCAACTTGGACGTCTTGTTGTATGTATGCCAAGGTGCGTCTTATAACTCGATGGTACTAAATGATACCCGATAAACAACTCTTTTGACGAGAATTATAAATTGGGATTGAATTTTTGCCAGTTTTCTTTGATATAAATTGATGTATTAACATTGTCCAAAAAACCATTTTATATTTTGATAATGGTGAAACTCTCAAGTGCGAAGAATGACAAGCCTATCTAAATAGTGATATTGTGGTCGATTTGACGAGGTGGCGTTTTGCCAAATGTCCTTGACCGGAAGAGAAAATCCAACATGGCGGTAAGTAACAAAGAAAATAACTTTTGTTGTTGTAACCCTCAAATTCATCTTTAAATTTCATTTTCCATCAATATTATCATTAGGAGTTTGTAAGTTTCTTATCAAAATTTTTACATATAAGTCCCGATCCATGGATCGGCGAAGCATGTTACGAAATCAACTTATAATTCCCGATTTGTGTTGGTGCGTGTATTTACTCAATTGTACCATATTAGAGGTATTTTAGGTGAAACATATCTCTCCTATATTTCAACTATAACATTTATAAACCTCACAAAAAAGTATTATACACTGTCGAGTCAAATAAACTTTATTGTATGAGATTTGCAGTATTAGAGCCAAATTGAACAACAACAAAAAATTCATTTTAAATATAATATATAATGGAACACATTTTTGTGGGAACAAAATGGTTGTGATTGTATGGATGATAAACAGTTTTTATGTTCATCTTCATTTCAGACACTCTTGCATTTTTAGGATTTGTGTTTGAAGAATGCCAAAAGTGAAGAAGAAGCAAACAAATTCTGTTGAAACTTATAAGAGTTGTGTCCCCTTGGACATTGAGCAATGATTTTGCTTGGACTTTGTTTTAGACCATAGTGCAGTAAGGAAATTGTCATGACATGAGTTGAGCCCTATAAATAGAGACATAGTCATTCGGAAATTGTAAAAGATAGTCTGTCATTGCAAAATAACCCTTACTTTGGAATTGCTATTCCCTCTTTCATTAGTTGAATGAAGATGCAGGAAAGGAGAATAAACATTCACTTTGTTTGAATTCTAAAAAGATTAAACTGAATGAAAATATTGAACAGAGTGGCGAGAGTTACTTAATGAACTACATTTCGGAATCTAGGGTTATAAAATGTTACCTGGTGAAAGTTGTTTTGATGTACCATGTGGATTATGTGGGAAAGTTTTACCCTATGCTCAACTATCAGTCCATGTTGGTGAACACAAAGATATTCCAACTGTAGATAAACCTTACGTTTGTGGTGTTTGTAGTAAAGCATTTATTAAGAGTGAGAACTTGATAAAACATGTGATGACTCACACTGTTGAAAGTCCTTATAAATGTAATGTTTGTGATAAATCATTTACCAACAACAGATGTTTAACTGAACATATTAGATCTCATACTGGGGAGAGACCTTTCACATGTGGTTTCTGTGATAAATCATTTACTACAAAAGGTAATTTGATTAGACATGTGCGGGCACATACAGGAGAAAAACCTTATAAATGTGATGTTTGTAGTAAATCATTTGTAACCAACAGCATCTTTATCATTCATATTAGAACACACACTGGAGAGAAACCTTATAAATGTGACTTTTGTGATAAATCATTTGTTGGAAGTAATGACTTGAGAAGACATATAATGGTTCATACTGGAGACAAACCTTTTAAATGTGAACTATGTGATAGATCTTTTATTAGAAAGAATGTTTTTGAAAAACACATCAAGACACATATTGAAGGGAAGACATATATATGCCACATTTGTGGAGAATCATTTTGCGATAACATTGTTTTCAAGACACATTTGAAGAGCCACCCCAAAGACAAATCATATAAATGTGAGATTTGTCATAAATCATTTAGTACAAATAGTAAATTGGTATTACATGTAAGAATACATACTGGAGAGAAACCTTATGAATGTGATGTTTGTAGTAAAGCATTTAGTACTCACAGTGAATTAGTCAGACATATAAGGTCACATACTGGAGAGAAACCTTATGTTTGTGATATTTGTAGTAAATCTTTTTCTCAAAAGTGTCATCATACTCAACATATGAGGAAACACACTGGTGTGAAACCATTTCAATGTGACGTTTGTGAAAAATCTTTTTTTACAAATCGTGATTTGACTGGTCATCAACGTATTCATACTGGAGAGAAACCTCATTTATGTGACATTTGTGGCAAATCTTTTGTTAAAATAAATAATTTGAAGAAACATGCTGCAGTGCACTCTGAAGACAAGCCTTATAAATGTAATGTTTGTAGTAATTCCTTTAAGTCATTGTGGAGTATGAAAGTTCATTCAAGACGGCATACAGAAGATAAACCATTTGATTGTGATGTTTGTAGTAAATCATTTTTCACTAATGGAGAATTGTCTAGTCATATTGCCACTCATTCTGATGAGAAACCTTTTAGATGTGATGTTTGTAATAGAGCATTTACTACAAGTGGAACATTGACAGTTCACAAGAGAACACATACCAAAGAAAGACCTTATAAATGTGATATTTGTACTGAAACTTACATAACCAGTTCGAATCTAAAAAGACATATTAGAAAATCACACTTGAAGGAAATATTATAAATGAATTTTGTGATTTTTTTTATATAATCTTTTATCTGTGATTTGAAATGACAGAAATATGACAAAGTTGAGTATAATCAGGCCTTCATTTCTAAAAGAAAATACCAAATTGACCATAAATTTTTGTCATTAATATGTGCTCTTTCAAATGTCAATTGCCAATATTTGCTGAAGACCTTTTATAAGAATAGGGGCTGGGCTTTTGACTCATTTATCTAATGATAGACATTACGTTTAGAAATATGAATCTTATATTTATGGTCTTCCTTTTTGAAGAAGGGACTCCTGAGGTTTATTTATGTTGCAAGCTAATACCGCTCTACCTCATTTAAATCATTTTCCTCTCCAGTTTTATAAGATTATATAAGCAATGTTTGTGATAAATTGTTTTGTTTAATCTGTGATTTAAATAGTAGGTTTATTACCTTATTATAATAATACATAGATAATATTATTATATAATGTTGTTGTAATCAGACCTTTGTTTCTGAAAATATTTTATAATGAAAATTAAATAAGTATGGGAGTTTTACATTCAGAAATAAGGTCTTATTGTAACTAAGATTGATTGATTTTGAGAAGCAAGGACTTGATGTATACCTATTATCTAAGCTATTTACCAAATTAGTCATTTTCCACATTTATTCACGAAGATTTCAATGTATTTTTTTTTTATTGACTTAAGAAAATTATTTTGTCACAATTTAATAAAATTTGGAGAATGTTTGCATGTGTTCAAAGCTGGGCCTGCCTCCTGCCCCTTGACCCCTCCACTATCCCATCGAAACGTCACTCTGTAGTTTACAGCTCTTATATCTACATTTGATAATGCCTGAAAGGATTTACAAGAAGCTGGTAAGAGGCATTACATCTCGGATTAATGATGACAGTGTTTGGTTTTCTAGCATTTACAGTCGCTGATGACAATGTTTGGTTTTCTAGTGTCTCAGATGCTGATGGTAGTGTTTGGTTTCCTAGCATTTACAGTCGCTGATGACAATGTTTGGTTTTCTAGTGTCTCAGATTCTGATGGTAGTGTTTGGTTTCCTAGCATTTACAGTCGCTGGTGGTAGTGTTTGGTTTCCTAGTGTATCAGATGCTGATGGTAGTGTTTGGTTTCCTAGCATTTACAGTCGCCGATGACAATGTTTGGTTTCCTATTATTTCAATTGTTGATGGCAGTGTTTGATTTCCTAGTGTTTCAGTTGCTGATGACAGTGTTTGGTTTCCTAGTGTCTCAGATGCTGATGGTAGTGTTTGGTTTCCTAGCATTTACAGTCGCTGATGGTAGTGTTTGGTTTCCTAGTGTCTCAGATGCTGATGGTAGTGTTTGGTTTCCTAGCATTTACAGTCGCTGATGGTAGTGTTTGGTTTCCTAGTGTTTCAGCTGCTGATGGTAGTGTGTGGTTTCCCAGCATTTCAGTTGTTGATGGTAGTGTTTGCTTTCCTAGCATTTCATGGTGCTATAGTTATATAAATATAGGCACATACAAAATACTAGCAAACCAAGACACATTTGTTCCAGCTTCAAATTCACAGGTGTTTTCTTTATCAGTAGGTACGGTACGTCCACTAAGTAAACGCACCATTGGCCACCATTCCAGCAGGTATATTCTTTCGTTCCATACGGAATACGTCCATCATAAATACTGTAACCTATGAGACGTCGTCGATAATAATGAATAATAGTAATAATAATAATAATAATGACGATATGATGATAATGAATAAGATCATTCAATGAATAAATGAATAATAAGCAATATTATTAAGAATAATCATAATTCTTTTGAAAAGATAAATTTATTACTTTACATAAACAATTATCTATAACAAATTAATTTTTATATAATCTTAAAATTTAACAAATACGATTACAAATCTTCTTAAAAATTATGGCACATTTTGGAATAAAGTTGACCAAAAACATTAATATCACATCCCTGAAAATTTGAAAATTTATAGAAAAAGAAGCTTGAAGGATATAACGAATAATTTGTTGGTAATTATAAACAAACTAATAAGGCAGGGTGACATCCATCTATTCATAAATAAAATAGAGAGAGGAATATAAATATATTGTACCAGTATTAATAATTTATAGCACTAAGCCTACTAGTAATAAGGCAGTTGGGCATTTATTTATGCCTTTAATTGTGATAATCATGAACAACTACAAATATAACCAGGGCACACTTATTTATCGTTTTTCATTAATGGCACATTTCCTGTTTTCTGATATCACAATTCTTTCTTTCTATTTCCATGATTTGCTTAATGAAAAATTTAAAATATGATATACCCTATAAATTATACTATATACAAAGTTGTCTTATTACACTCAGATCTACTAATTACCCTTAAACAATAAAACGAAAATATACTAAAATCATTAAAAAAGCCTTGACCAGAGATTATTATGATGGCAAAGTTAATATAGAAGGTGATTAAACGATATGAAATATTATCTTATTAATAAATATACAAACATGCCCTCTCTATCTGGAAATGAGAAGTACTTACCCAACACCTTTGATAAGTTCTATTATGTATTTTGAAGAACATTGCTTGATAACTTATACAAATGGCTGATAAAAATAAATAATACAAAAGCCAACTCTCATTTGGGTGTCCTGATGCAATACAGGACATTGCTGCTACCTGTCAGAGGAGTCCTGTCCTGTTTAGAGGACTCACTAACGAGGTGTAAGGAAATACCTTTAGACAATTATACATGCTTTTGAGGACTTTTTAGAAGGTTTAGAGGCAGCGCTAGTTGGACGAACATTTCGCGGATTGTTGTGAGCTCCAGTGTGTGCTGGCGAGAGAGTAGGGGATCCTTTCGGCTCGGGAGAAGGTCCAGGTCTTAAAGAGGGCTGCTCTGGGGGTTTCTGTGTTTTAGATCCTGGAGTAGCACTCTTGACGAAGCTACTTTTCTTCGGCGGAGCAGCTTGTTCCTGGGTGACCTTTGGATCTTCTTCCAATTTCTTGGAAACTGGTTCAGCCTTTTCTTTCTTAATCGGGTCACTTGCTTCTTTAGTTCTGGCCTTTTGCTCCGTTGGCTTTTCTTTCTCGTCATTCTTTTGAGACTGTTGTACTTCCTGGTCAGGGACATATTTCTCAATCTTACTTCGTAGCTCATCAAATTTAGAACCAGACCACGTGTCTTGAATTTTAGGATCTGAATGAACGTCAATGTATAACAATTCTGTAAAAGCCATGCTCATTGGTCCTCTGGGAGGCCACGTCATACTCTCTAATAGAAGAGGTATGATTGGTCGTTTTAAAGAATCACATAAACTGACTTCTCGACGACAATTGGCTGAGAGAGAATATTTCTCCGTGACGCAGGATATGACGACTTTAGAGCCACGAACTCCGCGATCTATTTTATCATACAGAGAATCTCCACCGCCCATCTGATAGATGTCCATCCAGCAATGATAACCCAGCTCTGTTAATTTCTTATATAATAACATAATATTCTTCTGTTTATCCCATTGGTACGAGATAAACACATCCGGTGATTTGTCATCCTGGATAAAAAACAATGAAAAAGAATATTTGTATGTGAATCTTATTAATAAATAGTAAAACTTCGTTTCTTAATTTCTGAAATTGTTCGTCTCCAGTGTAATCTTTGAAGTTTTCTACCACAGTACCGTTCTTATAACGTTATTTTTAACCAATCAAAGCTTGACATGTAGAGCTTCTTCGAATACAAGACGAACTGTGAGATAGCAAAATCCAATAAGGCTGCCATATTGCTCTACAAAGATACATAACGCCTCTGTTAAATACGAGTTCAGGATTGAAAAAAACTCATTAGCCTATACCTCCTTCTTTTCTGTAGAACTAGTAACAGCTGTTTTATTTTTACCACCACCAAACGTTTTTGATTTATCAACCTTGATCTCCTCTACTATCGGCATCCACCAGTTTTTATACACTGTAAGCAATATGGAAGGGATTAATATTTAAGTATTGGTATATTACTATGCAACCGTCATACACTGATGTTCAAGTGAGAGACGAGAGTTGTCATTTTCAGTAACTTTGCCTCGACCTGCGGGTAGAAGATGTGTTAAAAGTGTATTCGAGAGTAACTATTGTTAAAAAAAGATATAAGAGAACTTGTATATTTCTGTATTCATGCATGCGAACATAAAGATGTAGCGAAAGTGATTCAAAAATTATAATATGACTATTCTTACTTTTATGGACTTTCTTTTCATCTGGTACCACACCGTTCATATTGAGCTGCATCAACAGTTCCTGGAATTTTGGAATCGGCCAGAATCGATCGTCCTTGGTTTCTTCTTCCTTACTGTTCTGATAAAACTGTATATAGAGATACTCACTGAATAATGGACCCATACTGCCTTCTGGTGGCCACGGACAACTCTCTAGTAAAAGAGGTATAATTGGTTTCCGTAGATTGGCTGATAAATTCACCTGAAATGTTTTGAAATTTTATTGAAATACGCCAATATTGGTTAGCTATGTGGACTCTTCAAAGGGCCTGCTGAGTTGACAAACCAAGCAGCAGAATTGTACATTAGCCGCGTTTGCGATAGCGATGCCACAAAACGATTAGTTTGAATACAATTGCAAAACCCAGAAACGTCTCGTTGAAAAATGGAACGTTGCAATTCGATTCTATCAGAGCTCTCGGTACACATAAAAAGTAGTACACGTCTTTCCCCTCGGCTGTGAACCGCTCTCTAAGTTACAAGTTAGAGTTTCAAGACCTACCTCTCTATTACAATTCGGTGATTTGGCATATTTCTCTGTCGTACAACTGATGATGATTTTAGCAGCTCGAATACCTCGATCAATCTTCTCAAATAATTTATCACCACCACCCATCTGGCCGATGTCCATCCAACAATCGTATCCAGCCATCTCCAGATGTTTCCTCAGAAGCTTCACCTCCTCTTGGTGACTCCATTGATAACTGAGGAATATCGGAGGCGGAGAGACGTATTCAAAATCTTCGTCTTCCACTACTTGCTCTGTAAAGAAGCCCAATTAGGTATTATAATATAGGAGTTCAAACCAAACCCAATCAGATGTTCTGAAAATATAAAATTGCCCACGGAGCAATGAATTACACCGACATCCTGCTAACAAGACAGGGTTTATACTTTACAATACCTATCAGCAGCTTATGTTATGTTATTTCATAAGAACTGGTTTAATCATTTACTCTTTAAACTGTACAAGAAATTAGTTTTATTAATGTGTTGCATGGTGCAATGTGTTGCCCAATTAAGATAAAGGTGAAACTCACCCCCCCCCCCCCCCCCACCCCCGCCCCCCCTCCCTTCCTCCTTTTGTAAGAAATGTGTTATTGTATATAAACCCACCAGCAGCTTTCATGGCATTCTCCACAATAACCGCAGCATCCGTTCTGTTCATCTCAATCAGGTTATTCATGATGCCATAATTCGCCTCACTGGTCTTGTGGGTGGCGTACCATTCATTTAACATTGCCATACAGGGATCGGATTGCTGAGACCATGCTCGTATATCATCATTAGAATAACCCAGACGACTCGCTAGCAGTCTCCAATCATGTTCGTCTTTCGGATTCAGCAGTTTAGATACATCTCGGGACCAATAGGGGGCGTGTGATAATGTCTGGAACATATAAAGGGAAGTCTTAGATATGAGTGAGTGGTTATTGAATAGTTAATTGCACTTTATTATATTATATATTATAGAACTTGATATAAAAAGAAGCTAGCAGTCTAGGCCTTCCACTGAGAACCTCGGTATTTAGTGAAGGAATGGTCAATGTAGAAATGTCTCAGCTGCATACAACTGAATTAAGTTTTCTGTATCCATCGTGATAATTAGTGGATTTGATATTGTGGTTTTCATCACTTTCTGAAGAAGTTTTCAATTGTCTATGCATATACCTATCACTTATGTTAGAAATGAGTAAAGTTAAAAATCAGTTAAAAAGGTTACCAGATCGCTCGTGTTGGCTTTGAAATAACATAAGATATTAATGATGATTACACACCTTCATATCAATTTCCTCAACTTTTTTAACCGTCACATCAACAATCTCTCCAACTTCATTAAGTTTTACACCCTGGTCATCAACATCTTTTCTGATAATTTTAATATCCTTCTTCTGTTCTCCTACTTCTACTTTCACTTCATTTACTGTATTCTCATTAGTTGTGACACGAACATCCAGGTTGTCTATTTCACCTTGTTGATACTCTATATCATCAGCCAGTTTTAACAGACTGGAAAATAGAGAATCAAATATTGTAAACCATGTTTTGATGTCCTCTAACAAAGCCTGAGATTTAGTCGAGATTCCATATTTTCTTTGTATTATTGTATATCCAGATCACAGTGCAAGTTTATTTTGGTCTAATTGTATCAAAATAGACAGAAATCCGATAGAAAAACCTTTTGAGTTAATTTTATATGAAAATTGTATACATACGTTCTTCCTTCCAAAAGATCTATTAAACTGGTAGCAAGATCTCGAAGATTTTGGTCAGTAGCCGAATTTCTGATTTTTTCATACAGTGGTTTATGTCTCTCTACTAATGCTTTATGGGAAACCAAAAGGTTCCTTACTTCAGTAATCACCAATATCGTGTTTTGACTTTCTGGTTCTGACAAGAATTTCACAAATTTATTCATTACTTTTTCTGCCTTATTCTGAAAAGAATCAAATACCATTTACATTTCCAGTAGTTAAAGTGAATAAAACAGATGAAACATTCCGCTTTTGTGTAGATTATAACACATGCTGTCTAACACATGCAATGAAATACGACGCACATTGGGTGTGTCATATTGGTCCCAGATATAATAAGCTATTCATTATATTACATCTTTAGATTTACGTTCTGGGTTTTGGCAATGTCTATAAGTACTTTACATGTTTCATTGTAGAGAATGAACCTGATTATAATTTAGCTTTTGATTTTCACCTCGAGTCCAACAAGATGATAAAATTAATCAGTTGAACAGCTGAATGGATTTAACGTCCGGATTCTAGCAATGCATTTTTGCAAATGGCTATAATACTACCGTGTACATTAAAATAATATTTACCTCTGGGCTTTTAGATGCTATTTTTCTCAGGACTGAACACAGCGAATAGAAACAATATTCACTGAATTCATTTGTCAGCAGGGTATCAAGTGTATGCATCAGGATTTTGATATTTTTCGTTGCTAGTGAATCAATGATCATCAGATACGAGACTTGATAGTTAGGATCACATTCAAACATAACTTCTAATACCTTATCTACATTTTCTTCAGTAAACAGCTAAAATGTGTGTATTAAATCATGTTATATATCAACATGAGTTTAAATTAATATGTTACAGTGTGTGGCATTACTTTAAAATTGAACAGCAACAGTACTACAAATTCATTTCCATGAAGCCATTTTGAACAATTTTGGGGTGAACAAATTGCCTCGAGGACTGTAGTATCGTCGGTTAGAGATGGTAGCACGGATCATCGCGACACTTTGTTGTTATCCTTGTGAAAATAGTTTTGCGTTCATTTCTTTCTGAGGTTAGTTCTCAAATCTCAATTTGGATCAATTTTTTACCTGTAAAGGTCCGTTGTGACCATACTCTGTTCCGAATTCTCATGACACGTTACCCAGGTTACCCAAAATGAATATTCTAAATTGTAATTACCTGAGGTTGATGAGTTGCCACCTTGATCAATAATTGTTGAATGATACTTTTTATAGACTGTTCACCCGAGTCTACAAACTCGAACAGTCCCTGGAAATGTTTCTCCATACACTCGCCATTCTCGGGATATACAGCATTTATCGTATCTGAAAAGTGATAAAACTGCTACAGCCTATTGTATACGACAACTAAGTCATCCCTTTAAAGAGTAAACGCAGATGAATATATCCCAAGTGAATATGGAACACAAACATTGTTTATCTGTGTCCTTTTAGTGACAGTAGCATCCTATTTGGATAATGTATTTAGAGTTAAAGGGCATTGTATGGAAATTTTTCAAACTCATTTTTCCGTCAGATGTCTGTGGTTCTTGTAATTGTAATAGAAAAGCTTAACCGTTTATGGCGCCGTACAGTGGAATTGCAAAATCCACAGAGTTTGACTATGTACAATACTTACTCAAAAGCATGCATTCTTCCTTCTCTATAAATGATTCTATCAGTTTCGGAAGATGTGGACCCAGAGCAGTTACCCCTCCTTGTCCAGTCGACAATAAATACAGCTGATTAGTCGCCATGCTGCAAACCTCATCCTCCTCGTGTTCCAATAGGTCAACCACTTTCTTGATTAGATCTTTGATTTTACCGACATCTGTAGAACCTGATATCTGGAATAATACCATAACATATTAACTCGTTGAAGAGGGTTCTACTGTCAGATCCACTGAACATCTGAGTTCAAGCTACCATTGTAGCCCATCACACTAGACACTGGGGGTTTCAATAAATATGGAATTCCTCGCCAAGGAAACATCCATGTTCTGGACACAAACCCAGTGACAGTTCTGGGATGATACTAAAATTCCAAACAAAAAAGTCCCTTAAACTCCCAAAATAGAGACCAAAATTTCAAACTCTGTCCCAGAGCGCACCAAACCCACCACAATCATACACTTAATTTTGAGCAAGACATCAAACACCACAAATTTGAACCCTGGACTAGAATGCTGCTAGTTACCACGAAAACTAACGGACATTGGCGAAGGTTGAGCCGAATGCCCTGGTCCTTCAGGTTAGCGAGTAAGCGGCTGAATTGATATTGGTTACAGAAGTTTTAAACAGGGGTGTAATTCAATCTGAATAAATGTCTTTGTTGAATTACTTACCAGTTGAAATGTTTTCAAAATGGCCACGAAGCTAATTCTATAATGTTCAGTGCCGAGTGTATTGTCTGGAGTAAGAAATTCTCCGGATACGGCAGCATCACATAAATCTATCAATACATCGAAATCTTCTGGTTCCAAACTCTTAAAATCCCTAGAATGGATCAATAATAATAAATGAATTGATGGAATTTTATCTCATATTGTTGACCTACATAGTTGTGGCGGGTTTTGCGCGCGAAGTAGACCATATTTACTCTTTTCGAAACACCTGATGGTACTTCTCTTTGGAGGTGTCCACAACTATACTTTTACCCTCGATTTTGCAAGCTTTGGGCGAGATTTTGATTAATGGCATTGTCTTACTTGTTACGGATTTTTATCACCTCATTTTAAATATAAAATGGAGATAATTACGTGATAGCGGAGAATGAATTACACTGTATTTCCTGTAAGGTGCAGCATCTATTAATGTCGAACTCATGATCCACACGCAATAAAGCTGTTACTCTTTTTAACACTTTCATTACCATTGGTTTATGTTTCTGTAAAAAATCAAAACTTGATGAATCTGTGAGATATTCATATTCTTACCACTGGGTGAATGACTCTGCTGGTGGATCTTTGTCCTAAAGGTCATTAAAGATCACGAAAAGTTTCGTTTTGCGGTCCAGATCTGTAATAATACTGTACATTACAAATGAGCATCAAGAACAGATCATGAGATCCAACCAATAAGCATTCTTCCCTTCTGCTCCTCATAGATACTCCATTCATTTCGTTTCATTTCCTTATAGATACAAAGAAGTTCTAGTACCTACCTTAAAATTTAAATCGTCAAAATAGTCAGCGACTCTGTAGGCAAGGTCATACAAGACGACTTTCTGTTCCTCCAAGACTGTAAGACAGAAGTCCGATAACTCCTCAAGCAGTTCCGGTATAACTTTAGCCTTCCTACAATAACATCAATAATATTCAACTATCTGCCATTTATTACAAGAAATAGAGTTTTACATCCTACTTTTCTGCACCTGATTTGTCTATTGTCAATTTTGCCAGAACAGTGGAATTAGGTTACTATTTTTCGATTTCCGACTGTCGGGGGATCTTTAAAGTGCAATGCCAGTAGTACACGGGGCCTCGGTTTATTTTCCCATCCGAACGACTAGACGCTTTCTCCATGTCAGCCCCTCCTACCTGCATCACTGACAGGGAGAAACCGAAGAGAATAAGAAGGCAAGGATATAAAATATTGAATTTGAAATGTAAATTACTTTAACTGATCCAGAAAATACTGTGCAAAGTTAGTATAATAATCTACAGTATCTTTTCGCTTTCGTTCTTCTGGGTAGGTTACATCAATCTTAGTCAGTGCTATAAAAACTTCTTTAGCTTCTTGTTGACGAGTCTGTAACAATCATAATCATTTGTAAAAAACAAAGGGGGTTAATTCGGCACAAAGGTAAGTGGTAAACTAAGCTGGAAAGCACAATTCATCGGGTTCTTGTTCTTTTTTGACTAATATAAATTTTTAAAGCATAATCAAACTTGTATCAATATCTAGATTATCTATCATGGATGGGTAAAAGGAAAATAGGAAGCACTGGACGAAAATGTTGCAATATATAGATCGATCTTGGTATTTCTTTGGACTTGAAAGCTAGTTTGCTACTGGGCGTTAACTTTACACCTACCACCACCTATTTCTTAGGAAGCCTTTCTTAATAGTTTAAAATTTAAGTGTATTGGTTTGAAAAAAAAACCTCAGGAATTCATGGATAGTTGAAAGATGGCACTATTCTTACACTGGGTGTATGGTGAATACAATTATATACTGACCTTCCATTTGAGGAATTTTGCTTGTTCTCTAACAGCGTAATAAACAGCTTCAGCACAACCTTGTATCGGCAGGGCAGCTTTTAGTATTCTTATCCACAGGTCACAATGTTCTTTGGAACTAAAATAGAAGAAGAGCACTCATTCTACAGAATGTGTGAAAATTCATGTAAAAAGGACATGAAACCTAAAAAGAAACAGAAAAAAAGAAGTGCGAGGCAATAATTCTTCTAAAAATAAATATAGCGACTTGGAAGGAGGTATCTCGCAATTTCTATTCTTATCGACTTCTTTTTTACTACACCATAAATCATTAAATGTAAATTATAAGTATGCATTTCTACACTTTTGTGTTCAATCTAACGAAAACCTTTATATTTCCTGGCCTCTACATTCTTACCAGATTGGTCTCTGACCGAATTTTAGCGCTAAGTCAACGTGTGATATTTTAACAGACATCCTGATTTCCAGCGAGAAAGTGAATGAATGACCGCCATTATTTGTTACAATGAAATTAAGTAGACACACTTAGAGATAATTTAGATAGTAAGTAGTCTGTAAAACTTGTCCTCTTTCACTAATCAAAGTCGACATCTTGGCTTTACTCGTGTTTTTAGTCCAGAATCATCCTTAGTGGCAAGAAATGAAAAGAAACTAAAATGTTCAGTGGTCGGAGGGTTTCTTTCAGAGAAAACCTCTTACTAAACCTCCAGACATTAATCTTTTATATATTTTCTGTATATCCTGTTTTTTTAGTACAAAAAGACGAAAATTATCCATTGCTGTCAGACATTGACATTGAACAAGTCCAACCATTTGTGCCACGACACCCCCCCCCCCCTCCCTAAAGACTAATGTGCAAGAAACTTCGGTTAACAAACTTCCTTACATTAATCTTTGCTGGAATTTCTGTATGCAAGTACAGCTGGTTCGACTGGAATTATGAAAAGAAGGCTTTTTCAAGGTATAAAGTCTTTCTCAAACTAATCTTCGTCTTTTTTTTTTTTAGCTGATTAGCAATATTTCAATGTGCCAAGGGTATCATGTAACAATACCAGAATATTGATTTTGAGACGGTGCCAACATGTCCAAACATCATGATTCCCAATGGTTTAATTGTCTGAATGTTAGTCTACCAAGGTTCAAACTGTAATACGTTCTTGTATTACAAAGTATCAGTTTACACTGTAATCATTGTTACAGACCGTGTATAAGGCCGGTTTATATTCCAGTAAGAGAAAGTGCGGAGAGAATAAGCTAAGCGAAGTTTTGATCCGCTACCTAACACGATGTCAAGACGAATCTGTCAGTGCCCGTTTGTTTCCTCTGTCTCGGAATGATTGCATAGACAAAAACCAAGCGAAGAAGTAGGGCCACATCTTATTGCTTTTATAGCTTGAAGGTAAAACTTCGCTTCATAGCTGAGCTTCGAAGCTTGCTATGCTTGAACGAAGAAAAACCTGCCTGCCCTTCGCTGCTTCGCTTAACCGGCCTTAAGACAAAACCAGTGATTTCGAAGGGGGCACCGATAGAAATCTGGGACTATATGGTGTATTCCACCAGTCCATGTAATAGAAATCTAGAACTATATTGATGTTTTCCACCAGTCCATGTAATAGAAATCTAGAACTATATTGATGTTTTCCACCAGTATATGTAATAGAATCTAGGACTATATTGGTGTATTCCACCAGTCCATGTAATAGACATCTAGGACTATATTGGTGTATTTCACCAGTCCATGTAATAGAAATCTAGAACTATATTGATGTTTTCCACCAGTCCATGTAATAGAATCTAGGACTATATTGGTGTATTCCAGCAGTCCATGTAATAGACATCTAGGACTATATTGGTGTATTCCACCAGTCCATGTAATAGAAATCTAGAACTATATTGATGTTTTCCACCAGTCCATGTAATAGAATCTAGGACTATATTGGTGTATTCCACCAGTCCATGTAATAGAAATCTAGAAATATATTGGTGTATTCCACCAGTATATGTAATAGATATCTAGGACTATATTGGTGTATTCCACCAGTCCATGTAATAGAAATCTAGAACTATATTGGTGTATTCCACCAGTATATGTAATAGAAATCTAGGACTATATTGGGGTATTCCACCAGTCCATGTAATAGAAATCTAGAACTATATTGGGGTATTCCACCAGTACATGTAATAGAAATCTTGGACTATATTGATGTATTCCACCAGTCAATGTAAAAGAAATCCAGGACTATATTGGTGTATTCCACCAGTACATGTAATAGAATTCTAATATAGTGTAACTAATTGTGAAATCGATGATAAAACGGAACTTTAAGAGGTTATTTGTTTCTAGCGATCGATTGCCAACAGAAAACTTCACTCAGCTCGGTCGTTGACCTAATAAAGAAATTGATTTTCTTGAAATTCTAGTCCAAATGGTGATGAAGTAACTATTGTAATAGAAGAAAAACCAATTCGTCAGTCAAAACAACGTCAGCAGAATCAAAATTCAACAACACGTAATACAGAGATCCAATAATGCAATGATGTTCAGATCTTACAACCCAATGGATATTGAGTGGAGTTGGGGTAGAGAGCATGGTGTCGAATTACTGTTCCAGTGCATTTCTCCAAACCGAAATCCGGTTTGCTTGCATGACAGCCTGCATGCATATATCATGAGACACATTAGTTTAATAATCACAACTCAAAACTAAATTATGACTTAATAATTTTTCAAAAATAGAAATCCGGCATACAGTACGTTTACAATAGAATGAAAATTTCAAATTAAAACCATGATTTACCGTAAAATATTCCAGCGAAAGTGACCTTATATTAGCACTGTGACACAGACTTATGACTGAAAAACCTTCAAAAATAGATAGTAAATTGTAACATAGTATGCGATTAAGCATCTTTGTCAAAGGGACGATTCGTCTGACCCCTACGCGAGGAAAAATAGGTCAAGATATGAAGAACTAGTTTGGAGGACCTCGTCATGTTGTCACCCACTAAAACTGAAACTATTTTAAAATCCAGATTGATCGATGAGAAAGTCTACGAGGAGGTTGATGACATTTTTTAAGGTCGACTTATTTACATGGCATTATACTTCACATTTTATTATCAGATTCATCTCAAAGGCTAGGATTTAATTCCAACAAAGCAAGCGTTGAAATTTCTACTTATATACTTTATCCTTCTATATTTACTGACCTATGATTGATATATTTCTTCATGTGAAAAGTTCATTAGCTGTTATTAATGTTTTGGCAGTTTGTTGTTTGGATTTAGAGTTTCGTTTTGCGGTTCGGATCGTTAATTTATTTATTTCTGCACCATACTTTTATCAATAATGATATCAACAATTCAATCATCACCATCAACTATAACAGAGTTTTTTTAACATTGGGTAGGTGAGGACGGACAACTCCATGTTGGGAAAAGAGCTAAAATCTGCCAAAAAAAGGAACGGGTTGACGGATCTTATACGACGGTACACGGCTTGAGCTACCGGCATCTGTACAACTTCCTTAATTTTCTACGTTAGCCCCCCTCAACCATTTCTCTCAATCCTGTATCGCTAGGGTAGAAACTGGTTTACAACAGTATAAGTGCTGAATGTCAGTACAATCAAAGCAAACCTGTCTCCTTCCTCCTCTCACTCAAATTCTGCTTCACAAGGAAAACTGACTTTAAAAAAGAAGTACTCTTCGAACCTTTATCAAGACAAATAAACATGTTTTTCGATGTTAGCCCCCTCTCTCACTCCAATCCGGCATTATTGACAAGAAAAAACCGGTTTCTAAAATTCCGAAGTACTCTTTGAACCTATATCAGAACAAACAAACCGCTTTTCAGCCGTACACTAGACAATAATATGAACCTTGTTATGATAAAGAATATCAATATGTAAGGAATTGTCACCTACAGCTCGGGGGTATTGGCCATATAATATCAATAACTATGCCCCTTCTGGTCATAATTATTCCTGCTATTAATAGAAGAGTTCCAGGTTTCTACTAGTGCCAGGTCATATTGATTTTTTAATAATGCAAAGTTTGCACAATTCTTAACATATCACAGGATCGATTAAAGTCATCTAGGCTTCACGTTGGTCTTTCAATCAGTGGCGCTTCTGGAAAACAGGTCATTCTTTCTCCATGCAAAATGATAAAAAAAAATTGAAAGTGGGGGGACAAAGCCGGGCCAGCCTCCCCCGTAGAAACGATACTGTTTTCAATGATTTTTATGTAAATTTCTAAATTTTTGAAAAAAATATTTGCACCCTCTAAGTAAGATTAAGTTGGGTTAGTGGGTGAAATTAAACCACGATGTTGATATATATTTTTAAATGTTTAAAAATACAATTGTTCACCGCTAATAAACATATACATTACAAATACTACGATTCAAAAATGTCCAGGAGTATCCCTAATGGTGCCCTATTATAGTATCCTAGATTGGTAACCTGCCAGATTACGTCCCGTTAAATTATCTTGAATACGCAATTGACCTTTCGGACGGACATTAGCAAATAGATGAAAGTTAATCGATCAGACGTAAGCCTTTTTCCAGTGTAAGGATTTTGATTTGAAAGGAGAAGATCGGTATTGATTTTAATTTCTCTTAGTAGTAAAATGAAAGTCAAGCTAAACATCAAACCAAAACATCAATATACACAAAAACCTACTTTTCCTATCGCATAAAAAGCGCTCAATCTGTCTCGTTTCTTAAATATAAAAGAGCATCCACACAGATAAAAACGAAACGAATTAATGTTGATCTATATTCTTCTGTACTGACTGATCCGAATTGCACAATTATGCCCACTGTACAATTTTAAAAATTGTGCATGTCATAAAACGTATCCGTCATAACCACCGTACGAGTTTCAAAATCTCAATCCCGAGAACGATGTGAACATTGTACTATAACCCACAGGGAAGTCATAAAACCATAACATGTAATGGACTGTGAAGCCGAACCACTTCATCACTCTTTGTGTCATTCGGCAGCCACCTTTCCCGAATATAAGGTTCTGCACTACTAAGATTGAGAGGGCGTCATGACCATTGGTATTTAAATATCATGGTTTTGCAAACCTATTTTTCGACATGACCCCTAACCTATCACTCAACTGACGCCTAGACGTCAGTCACTGGGGTGCTTTAGATATATTCAGAAGTTACAATATGTTGACCTAGCCTTCAACCCGGAGATAAAAGAATTATCATTAACATGCAGAAGACCTACGTAAGCATCTAAAATATAACATAATGGAAGAGTCGAATTGGTCGATCGAGGTTTAGGCTTGATTGGTTTGGATATATAGTAAAACAGATATATAGTAAAACAGATTGAGATCTAGAAATCATCCTAACCCAAATAGTAATTGAAATGGAGTATATTTCTAAAATGCAATGATTTTCAAAAATATAATACTAACATCTACTTACTTGTTCATAACAGGTCCAAGAATGTTGTTTAATGCAGGTTTCACGAGCCGAACATCGCAATAGCTAAAATCTGTCAGGTTTTCCAGGAATTCTGCAAATTTTGGTGCCATTCCATCAAAGATAAACGCCTTATTCTGAAAAGTGCCATATTAGTCAATATTGAAGTGTGACTATAATATATAACTATGTTCCTCAATCTCGCGATTATTGATCGATAGTCCGTCATATCGCCGTCGTAAATAGTAAATTTACTATTCTGCAATTTTCACCCAATTCCGCTACCACTGTATCAGAATATGTCAGTTTTTCTCGATCATTAGTCATTGAGTTCACTGCAACGAGCTTCAACTGCCGGAGAAATTATGACCGCCTGTTCCTCAATCCGCGCCAAACTCGACTACTAGTGCAACGTGTCTAATCATGTATATAGCTAATCCATACAATTTCTATAACCTATATTGACAAACACTCCAGTACGCTGTATATACTATAAACCGGTTCCAATGTGTCCAAGACTATCAGGAATCCACTAGAATACCACCGTATATGGTTGCTATGAGATTGGTAGTAGATCTATGTAGTTATTGAAGTGATATTGAAACGAGAACGAGGCTGAATATAGATCGTGAAATGGTTCTATAAGACGGCAATATTGAAGTATATTTTCTTGGAGCCTGGAACGAGACCTCCATACACAATATTGATCTGTAATATTTACTACTACATTACACGGTGTCTCGGTTGTGCCTACTTTCAACCATTGATAACATGTTTCAAAAGGCGCGTTTTCATTATCAACAAACGTCAAAGCCCGGAGTGGCTTGTGGGAAGGTGTTTTGCATAAGCTCTCGACAAAACTGGGCGTGGAATCTGAATGTTTAGTATCTTCAGGGGACTACGGAACGAAGGGATGTTCTGTGTCCAAGTAGCTAGCAGATTGGCAAAACGACAGCTTTTTTGGTGTCCACCCAGCTAGCTGATCTAGCTAGCAGATTGGCATAAGCGCAGTTTTCTGTGTCCAAGTAGCTAACAGATTTGCACAATAGCACTGTTCTGTTCTACTAGCTTGCATTTGCAAAAGGGCAATTTTCCGTGCCCAACTAGCTGTCATATTGGCACAAGGCCAGTTTTCAGTGTCGAACCAGCTAGTAGTTTAGCACAAGCGCAGTTTGTTGTGTTCAACTAACTGACAGAGTGGCACGAGGCCAGTTTTCTGTGTCCAACTAGTTAGCAAATAGACAGAAGAGCAGTTTTTTGCGTCCAATTAGCTTAAAAATTGGCAGAATACATCAGAATAGCTATGATGTCAGTCGACACACGGTTTTGATGGATATATCCAAGTTGTGTCAGAAAGACTATTAACAGAGATACTTGACTTGGCTATCAGACTATCAATATGAATTTCATTCCGTTTTAAACAAGAGAATTACACAGTCCCTGTGGATTTAGACTGTATGGCTATTTGTAAAGAATTCCTGCAGTACATTGAACGAATTGAATGCATGGAGCCAAATGTCAATTTCAACTACATTGAATCCCTGATGAAGTTCCATTTCAAAAACTTTAGATTTAATTCCAAGGCCATGTGATATTTTCTAGTTGGTAAACTTTTGACGTTCATGAAAATCTCACCATTTATAAGTGCTATTAAGATTTACTAAAATATAAGATGCCCTAACCAATGCTTTCGACTCTAAAATGCTTCAAGATATCAATTCCATGATTAAGTCTTTGGGCAGTCGGCCAGTTATCGACTATAGCTTAAAAATCTCAGAAATATAAAAGGATTGTAAAGAGATTTGATAAAATTTTTATGTGTATCAGGGCAAACTTCCAATTTTCAATCAGACCTCTGTGGCTCCAGCAATTCCACTAAAACTAAGTATTTGATTACATAAGTAATAGCTAAATATGCTTATCATATACGAGCAGCACCTTCGTGAGTCGGTCAGTTTGCCACTCTTAATAAACACCTCGAGAAATGTAGGTGACTATAAAATGAAGAAGAAATATAACTAACACAAGAGAAAAGAATAAAATGACACATTTTGATGTATTGAATCGACAAAATCTCATTTTAAAAACTATGAATAATTACTATCAGAATTTTATGTTTTTGTCTGCACTTTCAGCTTCCAATTGGCCGGGATATTTGTAATTCAATCTGTTTATTGGCCTTTTCTTCCAGATTTTTCTATCTCATTTGAATTATTTCTACTTGTCAAATATTGTTCTAAGACTAGTGTACTGATTCTGCTGTCGCAATGAGTTTTATTCTGTAAGTGATATCATCTGTAGACTTGACAAAAATGTGAATGAAATGAAATGGTAATATCGGTAGACTTGAAATAAATTGTACATCTTGATACGAAATGAAATGATATAATCGGTAGACTTGGAATAAATTGTACATCTTGATACGAGATGAAATGATATAATCGGTAGACTTGGAATAAATTGTACATCTTGATACGAGATGAAATGATATAATCGGTAGAATTGGAATAAATTGTACATCTTGGTACAAGATGAAATGATATAATCAGTAGACTAGGAATAAATTGTACATCTTGATACGAGATGAAATGATATAATCGGTAGACTTGGAATAAATTGTACATCTTGGTACAAGATGAAATGATATAATCAGTAGACTAGGAATAAATTGTACATCTTGATACGAGATGAAATGAAATAATCGGTAGACTTGGAATAAATTGTACATCTTGATACGAGATGAAATGATATAATCGGTAGACTTGGAATAAATTGTACAACTTGACACGAGATGAAATGATATAATCGGTAGACTTGGAATAAATTGTACATCTTGGTACAAGATGAAATGATATAATCGGTAGACTTGGAATAAATTGTACATCTTGATACGAGATGAAATGATATAATCGGTAGACTTGAAATAAATTGTACATCTTGGTACAAGATGAAATGATATAATCGGTAGACTTGGAATAAATTGTACATCTTGGTACAAGATGAAATGATATAATCGGTAGACTTGAAATAAATTGTACATCTTGGTACAAGATGAAATGATATAATCGGTAGACTTGGAATAAATTGTACATCTTGGTACAAGATGAAATGATATAATCGGTAGACTTGGAATAAATTGTACATCTTGGTACAAGATGAAATGATATAATCGGTAGACTTGAAATTAATTGTACATCTTTATACGAGATGAAATGATATAATCTGTAGACTTGGAATAAATTGTACATCTTTATACGAGATGAAATGATATAATCGGTAGACTTGGAATAAATTGTACATCTTGGTACAAGATGAAATGATATAATCAGTAGACTAGGAATAAATTGTACATCTTGGTACAAGATGAAATGATATAATCGGTAGACTTGGAATATATTGTACATCTTGGTACGAAATGAAATGATATAATCGGTAGACTTGGAATATATTGTACATCTTTATACGAGATGAAATGATATAATCGGTAGACTTGGAATAAATTGTACATCTTGGTACAAGATGAAATGATATAATCAGTAGACTAGGAATAAATTGTACATCTTGGTACAAGATGAAATGATATAATCGGTAGACTTGAAATGAATTGTACATCTTTATACGAGATGAAATGATATAATCGGTAGACTTGGAATATATTGTACATCTTGGTACGAAATGAAATGATATAATCGGTAGACTTGAAATGAATTGTACATCTTGATACGAGATGAAATTATATAATCGGTAGACTTGAAATAAATTGTACATCTTGGTACGAAATGAAATGATATAATCGGTAAACTTGAAATATATTGTACATCTTGGTACGAGATGAAATGATATAATCGGTAGATTTAAAATTGTACATCTTGGCATTTTGTCGAAAATTTTTTATCAAGAATATGCAAAAATGCATTTTACGTCCTTATATCCCTGAATCATGCCTGATACATCCTAAAATATTTCCATGTTAGTTCTGATTGAAATAGAATTTACATGCAAGAAAGGTCTCAACCATGTCGGATACTGGTAGAAATAAAATGAAATTGACTTTTACATCCAAGTACAGTCTAATTCACGTCGGATACGAAGAAGAAATATAAATATTCAGGTAAAAGCAAATTGAAATAGGATTGAATGAAGGTCTCAAACATGTCGGTTAGGACAAATACATGAAAATGAAGAAAAAAATGAAATATAACGCCCAAGTACAGTGTAATTCGTGTCAGATACGATGAAGAATATATCGGGTTTAGCACCAGAATAAAAGGAATTAAAAGTTGGAGACAAGATATGACTTAATGGCACAGGGAATTTGAATATTGATTACGATGTATGTTTATTCATAGCTTATTATTGATTGGATCGGTTCCAATAGATGCCTGATTACCCCTCGTCTTCTATTATATATAGATAGGTTCCTTTTATTGTCAGGACGGTGGAAGACACATTGTCAGAGAAGAAATTGTGGTGGTTATTAGATCGGGATGGGGAATCGGGATAGAATTAAGGCACATATACATTTTATTGCTTTTATAGGCAGGGTGAAAATATTGTCAGGAAGATGGAAGACATGGTATCAGAAAAGGTAGTGAAGGTGCTAACTTTAAGGGAAATGGGGTAGTCGGTGTTGCTTACATGGGAACATATTAGAAGGCTGAAAAGAAAACCGTCTGAAAAAGGGCGCAGATGGAAGGGAAGGGGTTTTGTTTAACCACAATAACCAATATTTGGATGAATCGTCTTCTTGCTATCTAACCACATTGCCAGTAGACCATCATATCATAAAATAAAAGGGATTTGAAATTTATGCACCGAGAAGAATCATCAGAAGTACAGATCTTAACCACCGCTGGTAAGTCTTCAAACAGAATGTCTCCCACCGTGCTGAAGATAAAACTTGACGTGACAATATATCCGTATAGCCATGACGCTCGTCAAAGGAGAGACTTTAATTAAACCCGGATTATGGACGACTATTTATGCCAAATTCTATTGGTTTTTCTAATTGATCCCACATATGTGTCTTATGATAAGATTTTAATTTCTTTACTTTTGATGGTGATGTCTTTTTAAGTTTACTCGTCAATCTAAAATTGGATCACAGTTGAGTTGATAAGAACTTTCAAATATGTTGAATTTTTTATAGAGAAAAGATATTCTTCAATGTCTAATAAAATAAGTGAGAGTTGATCGGGTTAACAACTTTCTCGTATTGGACACTGAAGTGCGTTAAGTTAAGTTCCTTCCCCGCCCCATTTCAAAGCGCAGAAGAGATCAATATCGTGTCGTTATTCGGCCAATAAAATGCAATACAATAGATATATTACTATCGAGATACACAGAAACGGAGGGTCGCAGAACCTTAAATTGCGGTGCTTCAGAGCTCGAATAGTATTTAGAAATGACGTTTCGGTGATACTTCCTTAATGATGATTTTACTTACCCCCTTCAGCTCATCAGCATTCACATGGAACCAGAGATATCCTATATCTTCTAAAAATAGAACTGGGGGAACCCCTGTCTTCTTGTTGGCTAGCACTTGAAGAAACTCCATTACTTCCATATAGATTGCACTGAAAACACCCGACTCTTCCCTGTAAGGAAATGTGATAATGGGATGAAAAGTGATGTTGTCACTGCCCCGAGAAAAAAACGAGAGTAAGATTAAACTGAGAGCCAGCAAGGCAACAGCACTGACCTAGTTAATCTGCACGTGCATTCTTCTATAACCATTTACTTAGAATAAATGTATATCATTTGAAGAGAAGTGGGATACATTTAAAAGAACTTTTCTGCAGTTTAATTATGGAGATATCCAGAAGGCGGTGGGGGTAGACTGGTAAGGATTGTAGAGATAGAGGAAGGAGGTACAATCCCACTCTGTGGCCCCGTTACGTTGTTATCTGGAAATGTACCATTGCATGTGTTTAGTGGTGGGGGTGTCGTGCTAAAATACCAAAAAGAAAAAAAACGTGTCTAGTGTGTTTTACTTACTTGATGCCCAATATGGGGTATTGCAACGTGGATCGTAGTTGTTTAATCATGTGATCATCTGTAGGTACTTTATCATCACACAGGATTTGTTCCATATCTTTTAAATATTTTCTGTATAGGTCCGGGTCTGTTACTCCCTGAAATGGATACAGATAACTCTATTCAGCTTTAGCTTTAGTCATATACATGTAGATAGCTCTAGTCAGATAGCTGTAGACAGATAACTCTAGTCAGATAGCTCTAGTCAAACAGATGCTAGTCAAAATAATGGCTCTGGACAACTAGAAAACTCTTGTCAGATAGCTCTAATCAAATAGCTAGTTGACAAATAGATACCTCTTATCAACAAGATAGCCCTGGTCAAATACCTGGCTCTTGTCAACAAGATAGCTCTGGTCAAATACCTGGCTCTTGTCAGAATTATAGCTCTAGTAAGATAGACAGCTCTGGTCAAATAGAGGGCTCTAGTCGAATAGATAGCTGTAGCCAAATAGATAGCTCTCGTCAGTTAGCTCTCGTCAGATAGCCCAACCCAAACAGATAGCTCTAGTCAAACAGATAGCTCTAGTCAAACAGATAGCTCTAGTCAAACAGATAGCTCTAGTCAAACAGATAACTTTAGTTAATCATGTAGTTTTTCACCAGTAATATGACAAAATGGAGCCCTGCAAATTATATACTGTTGATTCCAACAGAAAATTATATATTGCTTTACTAATAGTTAGTATTTAGTTCTTCACGAGAGTTTGGCATCCTATAAACTATAGCACGAAAGATGATGCTCATAGAATTCCAGGTTAGATCACGAATAGTAAGATGAGGTGTATTTTATGGTAATTTTATTCATTGGTGGATTTATAGTATTAGATTGTAGCGGACTAATTATGACAGAATAGTTGTAAATAACTTCCCATATTCTCACTTTGACAGAAAATCGATGGTCCAACTGTCAAACATACATAACTATAAGTCAGAAATCATTTCTTCTCCTTTTACTAATTTGACGACGTTTTAAATTCTCTTTATCTGATCTACGATGGTTTGAAGACTTTCACATTTCTGTTCTAGATCAAAGGATCTTTTAAAGGTAGAGCGAGCCGTCGTCCTCTGACCTTTGATCCGCCAGGTTCGGAATTAATATCTATCGACTTAATAACGTCGAGGATATGATGGTCGTGGGTTCTAATCCCTCTCGCCATTTAAAGTCCAAATGTATACCACAATTTTATAGCTATTGAATTTTTGAGATTGAAAACAGGACAGTTTGTTGATGATATATTGTATGTCAACAACCAGAATGCACGTGCAAATTTACTTTAAAATGGCTTCCCACACCTTTATTACATAATCAAAGTGGTAAGTGATTTGATTTGATGCGTTTTGAAATTTCATCATTTCATGGCGGACGGTGCAACTGATTTTGATTTTGAAAAATTTACAAAATCTCAGTCCGTGGTGTAATAGTGAGTTCATGAGTCTAATGATATATTACATTTTAATAGGTCATCAACCAGAATTTACGTGCAAAATTACCTTTATAGTGTTTGCATGAGGATTCGTCCAAGACTTTGTTACTGATATTTTACAGTTGGATAGGTCATTAACCAGAATGCACGAGCAAACTTACCTTAAACGGTTTCCGACCAAATTTATACCATAATTTAATAGCTAATGTGTGCATGAGGTTGAAAACAGCCCGGTCTGCTGTACAAAACTCTGTTTGATAAAACATAAATATATCTAAATATTCCTCATAGTTCTGTTTAATTAACTCATCCCTGTAACAAATAAATAGATAAATAAATGCATTGATGCAATGAAATTTGCATCAAACATCAAATGAGATCAAATGGGGTAGTATTGACTGGGATTGAGATGGGTGGGATGGGATGGGATTGAGATGGATGGGATGTGATGGGATGGGATTGAGATGGATGGGATGATATGGATGAGATGAGATGGAATGGGATGGAATGGGACTGAGATTGATGGGATGGGATTGAAATGGATGGGATGGGATGGAATGGGATTGAGATGGATGGGGTGGTATTGAGATGGGATTGAGATGGAATGGAATGGGATGGAATGGGATTGATGGGATGGGATGGAGATGAATGGGATGGAATGGGATTGAAATGGATGGGATGGGATTGAAAAGATGGAAAAGGTTATATTGAAAGATGGATTGAATGGGAGGGGACGTGATTGGGTGGAAAGAAATGAGATTTAAAGGGATGAGATGGGATTGGATGGGACGGAAAGGGATGAGATGGAAAGGGATGAGATCTATGGGATGATATGGGATGGATGGTAAGGAGGAAAAATTATACAATGAATGAATAATTCATTTTTCTGTCATGTTAGTATTTGAAAGTTGGAAGTTATCACTATTGTACAAATCGATAATTTTGACTCTCTGGGATTTTTTTTTAGAATTCAGATATGTAATACACACATTCAGACAAAATCTGTAATTCCAGAGATATGGTTTATATCAGCAGGGCGGTAGAAATCAATAGATAACAGTAATATACTTGGAATTAACCTGAACTGATATGTCATTTAGAAACCACAAATCAGAAGAATATGCAAATATGATAGATAAGGAAAGCTAGACTATGTATAGTGGTGGATAAAAACTAGGGAATATTCAAGATATTGTGGAAATTTCTTTCCATTCGTCATTTTGTTTAAAGCTATGCTTTCCACTTTTTAACCCAAATCCGAATTCAGCCATCATTAAAGGTACCAGATAGCGATTACCAGATGCGATTGGTTGCGAATAATGAAAGTGGTCATGTGTTCCGAACGCAAGTTGCATAAGTGATGAAACTAATGACCGTTATACTCATTCTCAAACATACCCAACTGGTAATCGCTATGGTATTAGAGCCCTTTTGATAACTAAGTATATATTTTTAAAGTAACCATTAAGAAATTGGTAAAGTACTGCTACTATCCAGTTTACTTTCCACGGTTTCCTAATAACTGAAGTGTTAAATAGAATAAATCATCTGCAAGAGATCTAGCTCTTTTGAATACTTTTCAAACGGAAAAAATATACTGTATGGACTATATGCGACCGAAGTTGTGAGATAACGGACTGACTTACGTTATGGCATGGTCGACAATATACAACAAGGCTTTCTGTAGTTCTTCGTAATATTTTTTATTATCTATATCACTTTCACCTTTATAATAATATACTTTCTTCAGCGATTTTAACAATTTACTGTTTTTCTCTTTAGATATTGTCTGAAAAATTCAGAAATCAAAGTAAAATCTACGCCGAGGAGGAAAACAAAGAAGAAAAAAAACCTGGGACAGTTCAATAAGGTATTTGAAATAGTTCAGCCAGGAATGACTTTGGTTTTTGCAATTTTAGGAATGCTTATCAGTATTTGACGTCAATATCGCAAAAGCTGCTAACCTAGTGGAATCGCAGGACCTACAGACGTCTGACTGAAAATCATTCTGCTACGTGAATAAATAAGAATGTCACTATATTTGGATTCTGAGATAGGATCAAGAGTAAAGATTGACGAAGTAGCTTTCTTTACCTACCTGATAATAGTCTTTAAATCGTTTCCAGCCGAAAATTTCTCTCCAAATAAAACAATGGCCAGAGCCAGGACCTAGCTCGATGAATTTCAGTAGCATTTCAAGGAGCATATCGTGAAATTTATTCATATCTGATTCTGAATAGGCCTCCCTCGCTCCATCACTGTTAAAATATTAAAATAATCATCGTTAACTCGTAATATAGCTTCCATAAAAGAAAAATCTGATCCGATTCCATTTTCAGCTAATCTGGTAAATAATACAAAATGAAATTGAGTTTTAAGTCCTAATCTGGTGTTCTTGGTCGGGCTTGTGCAACGCCATGCAGTGTGCGATTAGGAAAAATATTGGACAAAGCTATTAGACTCCGCATTTATCAAGTAACCATGTTCAAAGAACCTTTTCAAAATGATGAATAGCCGAGTTAAAACTGAGGTTCGAAAAAAAAAATATAACTAGAGCCACTCGTGGCACAGAGTGGGACTTTGCAAATGTTGCAAAATGCAAAAGACCCTGAAAAAATCAACCTTCGACAATAATTAGATCAAGCGCAAGAACAGTGTAAAGTTGATAAATTTTCATTTTTTAGAAGATTCTAATACCGGAAGTGGACGTCAGACCTCACAAATGAAAGTATCAGCAGATAGCCAAGGTCAATGACCTTTGATCCTGTAAAGGAGAAGGTCTAAAAAGGTCAAGATCAAGAGATATACGCCATTAAAATTTCAAATTGCTAACAACTATAAAACAGGAAGTTGACATAGGACAGCAAATATAAAAGTATAAATAGATAGCCAAAGCCAATGACGTTTGATCCTACAAAGGTCAAGGTCAACAAAGGTCAAGGTCAAAAATTGAAAATTTTGTATTTCCAAAACCTGTTCCTTTCTTTGAACTATAAAGCAAAAACAATTGAAATTCTAAGACAAAGTGGCTCAAAATTTGAGGTAATTGTGTGCAAAGTTCCATTTTGAATAAATGTATACTTTGCGAGTTATGCCCCAAAAATGTCAATAATGAGAAATTTAACCCGAAAGTGCCACGCCCACCTCAATTTTTTTTAAATAGGTTAATTAATATTCAACATGTTACGTTATATTCCAAATGTCAAGTTCCTACATAATAGAGGTCAAAAAAAAAAGAATGGACATTTCGATAACAAACTGGGACTTTGCTGAAAGCAAAGTCCCACAATGAATGGTTTAGTTAAAATGCCATAATGGATTGTTCCTATTGTTTTTACTTTCTGAAAAAGAATGTGTTTCCTGTGACACAAACACAACAAGATTTGCAGTTCAGAGAATGTTACTTTACCACAAGAATCAAAGGTTTGACACAAGCATGGTCTAGTATGGTTGAGAATTGGTAGAATTAGTGTCGGTGTGAATTTTGAATACCAAAGATCGAATGAGCGGAGAGGTAACCTACTTTTGTGGGGTGCTTCCTAGAACTTCCCTTCATTACTGGTGGCATATCGTAAGAATCGTTCCTGGCATGGTATAACTTTTCGCATAGTAGACCATGCTTTCCATAATATCATCATATAAAAAACTTACTTACTCTACTTGTTCTGTGATAACCCCAAACATATATTTCACAAGTTGTACGCCTTGACTCGTGCTGTCGGGGATATTCGGAACACAGACTACAGACGACAAATATTTAATAGCATCAAGCCATAGAGTTATCGGTCCTGGCAATTCATTGTGATTTCTGCACCAATTGTGGGCTGCGTCTCTGAAACTATGAACTGAGTCGCTGGTTGCATCCTGCACGCTGTAACTCTTCAGAATATGCAGTATATCATCTGAAAAAGGGATAGCCCTCTGTTGTTTAGTCTTTAATTAGATATGTATGGAGTAGATGACTGAAAGGACAATTTTGGCCAGTCTTTAGTCTATTTCGAAATGTACAGCCTGAAGCACATTGGTACTGTGCTGACGAAATACGGTGACGGTACCATGCACATCGTCAGGCGTATCCGCTCATTTCATCAACTGCACCGTACTCCGCAATGGACACCTCACCTCGTTCACGCGCGACTTTAAGGTCACGTACAAAGGTCAACCACAGTCCAAGTGAATCTGTACTAATTACCATAATGAAGTAAAGTTAATTAACAAATCATCTCAAGTAAGAAATATCGTGTATATCAATACAAGGATCAAAGCAATATCAAAGGCTATATCTAATTATTGATATAAGAAGTATTTGACAAGCAACTCTTGATCTGTTGCTGTTGATTCTGAAAATCTATCAACCAGCTCTTTCAGCTGAAAAACAGATATTCATACGACCACACCCTTTTATGATTCGTTGAAGTCATTTTACAAAATCGTCTACTGGAAATGTCTTACATGGACAACTCTGTTCATATGCAGTATACTCGTCGTCGTCCCTCGTATAGTTGTCATTCATTCATTCATTCATTCATTCATTCATTCATTCATTCATTCATTCATTCATTCATTCATTCATTCATTCATTCATTTCATTGTCATTCATTCATTCCAATTGAAATAGAATAGAGGTTGTAAAAAAATTAATGAATTTGATCCTGGAATAATTTATAATAAAAAATATATAAATCAGCAGGAAAACTGTCAACCTTCTCTCGTTTCAACCTAGTCTATCAAACATATTATAAAAATCAATTAACACTTACCAACCGCCATTTTGATTCAACTTAGTCAACCAGGAAGAGATTTACCTCAAATTACGTGTATATTTATAACCATCATATTTCGACATAGTCCGTCATCCCCCCGATGAGTGAGTATCACTAATCATGCATACATATAGATGCATAGAATCGTTATGCTATGTGTAAAACGTCATCAAATTGTGTGTAGAGATATAGGACACTTTTCAATTGACAGTATTTGTTTTGATCATCGCTACGTTACGACGTTACTTAAAATAAAGATATTGAGTGAAGATATAGAGGCTCGAGTCATTGATAAAGTCGTGACTATTCAATTCAATTGAGTTGGTCGTGTTTTTCAATCACCTAAATTACTTATATTTATAGTATTAGATGTAGTGGAGCATGTCCAAAAATATGCTCGATTTACAAGCTCGATTGAACGCCCACCAAAGAATTAATGACTAGTTTATGGTATTAATCTTTGATACTATTGCTGTCCTTGCAAAATTGCTCAAATTATAGCTTGTCACCAGCATGAGTTTAATGAGGTACTGGAGGGGGTAAACCTCTATTTTGTGCACATATTGGCGGCGCCAGCCTCTTGAGACCGGAGTACGAAAGGGGGGCCGTAATGGGGGACGACTTTACTGTCGAGGTTAAGATTTACAATAGTGCATCTCTACGGAAGCACATGGTTGCAATCCTCCCATGGCGAAAGTTCTACCCCGAGAAAATTAAAAAAACAAAGAAGAATTTTATTAAGATATCCAGTAAGATGTATGTTACTCGTGAATCTAGCCAAATTCCTTGTTAAAATCCGTCTTTACTGAAAGGATCTGAGCTAATTGTCCAAGTCATCCAAAGGACGAAAAATTATTTTGCTTCTACGGATTTAGTATAGTATTAGTATATACTTTCTCATTTGCTTTGTGAAAATTGCCGAGGATAAAAAAATGCAAAATGAATCTAGAGGAAATATTATAAAATCTCGTGGCTCCAGTATTTCTAGATTGTATTAAATGGTCATTGGTCGTTAGTAGTTGATATGACAGAGAATATTGGAGTTGTCAATCAGGATATCGATCTGTAGAATATTATCAATATCGATCTGGTGTTGACTTGGTTAATTAAGATATCGTGTAATTAATATCTGTTCATTATCGGTATTATTGGTTTTAATATCAACATGTTGGCTAATTTTAGACACTTTATAATAGACAGATATTTATTGATTAAACTGATCTGATATTATGTTGTTGGTTCTGTTATTTATAGAATTTATAACTTGAATGAAGACCCAGAAACAGTTTGGTCTAAGATATTAAATGATTACTGATACACTATTAACACGCTCGCCCTGGGTTCGTTCGCACTATTAACACGTTCGCCCTGGGTTTATTCGCACTATCAACACGTTCAGCCTGGGTTCGTTCGCACTATCAACACGTTCGCCCTGGGTTCGTTCGCACTATCAACACGTTCGCCCTGGGTTCGTTCTCACTATCAACACGTTCGTCCTTTTTTCGTTCGCACTATCAACACGTTCGCCCTGGGTTCGTTCGCACTATCAACATGTTCGTCCTGGGTTCGTTCGCACTATTAACACGTTCGCCCTGGGTTCGTTCGCAGTATTAACACGTTCGACCTATGTTCGTTCGCACTATCAACAGGTTCGGTCTGAGTTCGTTTGCACTGATAACACGATCCCTGTAGGTTCGTTCGCACTGGGTTCTTTCGTCCTGTAAGTATGTTAGCTCTGTTTATCCCTTATTCATTTTTTCATTTGTCTAATCACTCTAACCCTCACCCATCCAGCCATGCAGGGCGTAAAACTCCATGAGTTATGATCAGCATGACGAGAAGTATTAATGTTACATGTAATATGAAAGTGATAATGATTGTATTTGTATTGATTGGTGTATAGGTTAACGACCATTTTATTGATCTTTCTATCACCCTCTATCATATTTTCACCAGCTAATGATTGGAAGTAAGAGAGGATGGTAAAACGTACCATGATGGACAGACGGTACCAGGTTTTGTTCTAGCGTGTCAGAAACAATTTATTCCAGACTAACTACTTACGTTACATGTCTAATTACTTTTGATTTTTCGGGCAATCTCAGATACCCCCCTCCCCGCCCCCCTCCTCGGACGTAACTCTGGCTCCGCCACTGAATCCAAGCATGTCCCTCCCTCCTGTTTCCCAAACTCAGCTAGGGTCTCACAATAACAGAGGTGAGTGGGCGGCTCATACGGACATCACTGTTACTATATACATGTAAATAATAAATGAATATCAACATGTTGATAAAGTACAGATTAATAATCGTGTTTGAACATGAATCGTGATTCTAATATTGATTAGAATGACATCGTATTTTTCAATTCCTAAATGAGGTGGATTAGCCCAAAACTTGCCCCTGGCGATCTGAAATTTGGTGTGCTTTTCCTTGACCAACGCCATACACGAGTACATTAGACGCAAATACGTATATAAAAAATCATTATCAGGGCATCAGGTGTTCCAGAAGAGTGTTACATCAATGTATGTTCCAGATCTCTCCTTCAAATAGGATATTTACAGATACTTTGATCAACCTCTATTAACCAGTAACATTATAATCTATGAATGACATACACGAGTATAAAAGACTTGATATTCATTTGATAAATTATTGACAGTGAATCAGGTTTAAATCAACAAGACTCTCGTCAGTTAGGTCAAGTGTTAGAGTGGATTTTCTTATTGACATTAATCTTACTACAGACTACAGTAATTTCGCCCTGGAATGTGGAAAAAAAATCTTATTTCAGTACAAGGGAAGACAACCACTGATTCTAGATACATATCACAGTAAATTAAATGGAGAGTGCGTGCCAGTTTGATAAAAAAAAGCAAGTTCGTCGTCATGCTCGGGGGCGATTATTGAAACAGGCTCCCTTAATTTGAAAAAAAATATTTCATGTGCACTGCTTTGCCAATTACATCGACCAAAACCCTTCTTCATATCAATTTCAAACTCTTTATTGTCCAGTTTATTGAACAGATTCCCTAATTATTTTCTTCGAAATTTATATTTTTAATATCACGTAATGTGGCTAAAGAGTATGAGGAATTTGCTGTGGTCTTAATGTCTCTTCAGCTATACTAGTGTTCTCCCTTAGACTAATTAGATACCCGACCTGGTCTATTGTAAATCACTGCACTGGAGGTAATAATCGAATCGACAAAATGTAACTGAGATAAAGAATTACGTCGTAATCAGTAGTTTTCTGCCTTTTAGGAGCAAATGTAAACAAACCGTGAAATAAATGTAAACAGTCCGTGGAATAAATGTAAACAATCCGTGGAATAAATGTAAATATTCCAGGGAATGGATGTAAACAAGCCATGGGATGGATGTAAACAAACCGGGGAATGGATGTAAACAAACTCGGGAATGGATGTAAACAATCTATGGAATGGATGTAAACAAGCCTGGGAATAAATGTGAAAATATTATAACTCCATACTCATATTGGGATATTTCACTTACCCTCACATCACCGACCATTTACTGGAAAATGAAAATATGAAATGAATGGAGTTTTACGTCCTACTTTTCTGCATCATGTGGGCTAATTAAAACGGGCAACGACGTTCGGGGTGCAATGAGGGAAATTTAGCCAGGACAGCGGCTTCAGCCTGCTCTTTTTCGATTTCCAACTGTCTGTAACGTGCGTTCATTTAATGGAAGAAAGATCTCTATGCTATATGATTAGGTTGCTCGTTTAACATGTATTAATGGAAATTGGAAGTAGAAATTCTGTGTCAATAGAAATAATTACTAGTAATAAAGATGGAGAAAGGGTGGCTGAGAACTTCTTTGATTAAAAGCAATAAGAAATCACCTCGTAAATACATGTTACAATTGATTGACATAACTTAACTATTTCTTTAATTGAGCCTGGCTATCAATGATCTCTCACATTTTAACTTAGAATAGTACTAAATAACTGACAGTACGGGGCAAGATTTTACAGCCCCCACCCATGCCCCACGGTCAAGTCTGAAGAGAGGGATAGGGTCAGGAACTAGACATTAATTTAACCCACTATGAATGATCTTTCACATTTTAACTTAAAGGAGCACCTTCACTATCCGTTCGACCAATCACACCTTAGTTTCAGAAACAGGACTTTTTTTTAGCTAACATAATCAGTTATAGTGTTCACAGCTCATCGCCAAAATTTGAGCCTTCAAATCCATGTGTATCCATAATTATTCATGTTTGAAAGTTAAAAATTCGATTCGAATTTTAGTGAGACTATACCATATATAGAAAACACATACATAGGAATAGACAGTGAAATTTCTAGTTTGAGGTATATTTGAAAGGATTATATGATTTTCGTGTGTTTTAGTACTTCTTAAGACCATTAAAGCAAAATAAAGACCCATATCAATCCCCGAAAATGCTGATTTTCTCCCTTAATACCACAATACCAAGTCAAGTCAAGAGGGCAAGATGAGGTTATGAATCGAACATCTTCTATAAATGACCCGTGCAAATCTTCCTTAATTTCTAATAAATACAAATATTATCAGTTGCTGTACAAGCAGGTGTAATATCCAGTCTACTTTCGATTTTCCTAGATCATATTTTTCAGTGGCCATCATATATTACATTTTTGACAAGGCCAAGCTTCCATGTGACATAAAGGAAAGTGGAAAGAAAATTTCTGGAAAAGGTTCTAGAAATTCATATAGCATCGAAAGAGGTGACATTTGAATCAAGGAATAGAGTCCATGTCTGCTTGTATTTAGTACCGCGGTTTATTGGCAAGGGAGATCACCCGGTCATTAAGTGAACAATTACCTTTTCTTTACTCACTAAATTACCCTTTTATATTTTCCTTTTATTTTATCCGAGTTTCCGTTCAATGTTAAGAGCCGGTTGGATATAAAATGCGGAATTTAAAGTAGCAAGTAGTCTCTATTGTCCATAAGCCATTATATTGACGAAGTCGATGATAACTTCTCAA